CTTGTAGAGAGTGGGGTCTTTGGGTTCTAACTGCAAAAATGCTGCTGCTCCATCCAGTCCATCATGGCTAGCTCTCCTATTAATGACCTCATGAAGCCCTCTCAGGAAGACTCGGAGAGGCCGGCCAGCAGCTGGCGGAGGGGGGGCTTGAAGAATTGGAAAGGGAAGAAGGGAAATGGGAGTTAAAAAGAAAAAAGAGGTTGCGGTTTCCAACTCCCCATCCATGTTGAGTCATAGGTAGTGCAGAGGACCAAGGGCAACAAGGCTTGGAATACAGGTCTACATGAATCATTTGAGGCTGTTTTCCTGGATGCAGATTAAGCCGAGTTGTTGGATTAAGTTATCCTGTCAACAAGGACTTATGAGTTTAGTACTAGCCTCATTTTATAGGCAACAGTATTGCACTACTGTAATGGAATAAGGCCTCCCATTAGGTGAAGAGGGGGCGCATGACAAATGCAAGTTAGTCGTCTTCTTCAGATCAAATATCCACACACAGATGTGACAAGGCAGGATTTACTGCCTTCTTCCGCCGCACAGTTGCCGTGCACGCAGTCAGACTCACTCCGCAGGGAAACAGCACCACGTCCAAATGTCACTGTAGAGGTCACAATGGCTGAGATTGTTGAGTCTAGTCTAGGACAAGGCTTAATTTGTGTCCAGAAAGCTGCCTTTTACAATATTTAGGAAATTCATATCCAGTGTTTGCAATTTTTGAACATCTGTGTCTGTATTCTCTCCATTTGCTACATTTTACACTTTTACAAGGACACTCAAGCCAGAATGAAAACTATATCTGTGGTAAACATGCCTGCTTGCATCCTGCAGTGGTGCTGGAGTAGTTTCTAGAGTGAGATTTTCCAGTTTAAAGAGTAGAAAAAATCCCTTTCTGATAGTGTATCTTGAAGGTTTGAGATACGTCTGAAAAACTACAGCTTGTTTAGGGTCATATTTTGATCGCAGGCTCTTCCTGAAATGTCTTTTTATTGTTAGCTGGTGAAGGCAGAAGGAAGGCACATAGCTAATGCTACTGCGAGGAAGCTTTTTGCAGATGTATAACTGTACTAACTGTCTTCACATCATAATTACAAGAGAGAACAAATTACTCAGATGACAGAAATGACTCCTCAGGTGAGGAGAGCAAGAAAGTAAAAACTAAAGTTAGCAAGGTAGCTGGTTAGTTATCTTACCTCAGACGTGCTTCTCCTCCTAGGAAAACCTATTGATTGCCTAAAGAATCTTTCAGTGGATGGTTCTTTAAAAGATGTGTAAATCAGATGCAAGCCTGAAGAACCTTTTTAAAATGTGAAGGAATTCTACCTAACTTACAGGTTCTATACATGACTATGTATAGAATATATATATATATATATATATATATATATATATATATATATATATATATAGGAACCTATTTAGAAACTATATACTTTAAGAGTGTAGACAGTGTGTTCAGGAAAGAATTTGCTGTATTATTAATTAATTTGTTGCCTACAGTTGTGGAAAAGTATGTGCACTCTGGCCAAATTACGTGTTTATTTGATTTTTTCAAGTAGAAATTAGTTAAGAAATCCTCTACAGAGAACACACTTCTGCACATTTCAATGCACAATTACTGTTTATTTGCTGAATTTAACATACTGGGGGAAAAAATAATAAAACATAAAAAGTGTGCTCTATGCATTTTATATTTTATGTTTTGTTTTTAATATGAAACTTTAATATAAACTTTATATTTTTATACTTCTTTTTTAATAAACAGAAATTGTGCACTAGAGCAAACAAAGTTTGTTTCCTGTAGAGGATGTGTTACCTTATTTTTATTTTGAAAATCAGCAAAACATGTAACTTTGGATGTTCAAACTTTTGCATATGGCTGTATAAGTCAACTACTCTGTCTGCCAGTGCACACTTCTGTCACCCCCACTGCTGAGGACCACTGACCATTCATATGGTAAGCTTCCCAGTTTTATTTCGGAATCAGTGATAAAAGAATCATTAAATGTATCCCAACCGTCTGAACTGGCCCTTGCTTGCTTACTTGCTCCATACAACTTGTACAAAGAGAAGTATTTCACAAACTCAGGCAAGCGTCCCTCCCCCTCAAGCCCAAAAAAAGATGTAGCAGGCTTTCCCAAGCAGAAGACAACTAAGAGCACCCCCGCCCCACCCCCCACCGCCCAGCTCCTCTCTTCCTCATTCTTTCTTTCTAAGAAAAAGAGTCCAAAAAGAGTTCCCTGCTTTTCTTTAGCTTCCTTTGGGATGAGCAGATTGAGCTCTATTTAAAAAGATACTAAAATCTTTGTTTTACTCGTCATTGTGTGGAGGGTGGATTTTGGTTCTACCCCCTATATCCCTCTCTCCCCCGCAAACGCTGATTTCCATCGGTACGGCCCAGCTATTTAAGTGTGCATTGTGTGGGCTGACCTATGAAAAATTCAGGGGACACGCGGAAGGCTCCAGCTCTATCGGGGACCACCAGGCTTTGGGCAGCCGGTGGCATTTGCACACCAATTGCCCAATCTCATTCTGGACAGCAAGGAGGGGCTGAAATGGCCCTCCCTCTGCCCCCTCCTTTTGCCTGCCATCCCTGCCGTGGCTCGGCTGGACGTGAATAGAGAAGCCCGCTTTGGGGCTTAGTGAATAGGCGGACTGTCAGGGGGCTCTCAAAAGCCCGTAATGTCGAAGCCACTCGGCCTGCATATTAACATGTATGTAAGGAGCAAACCATGCGGCCCCACTCTGGCAAACATACACGCGTAGAAGAATGGAAAAGCAATCCTCAGCCTAAAACAAACACACATGAATATTACAGGCTTAAAGGAGGAGGCAAGAACTCTGTGCCAATATGTTTGTGTTCCAACAAACCGGTTTGTCTAAATATTGGTACTCAAACAGGCCCAGCAAAGACAAACAGAGCAGCTAAATGAGATGATGCTAATACTGTAAATATGAACTTTTTTACAGTAATGCATTAAAAATTAATGAAATGGAATGGCTAGGATTGGCCAAATACATAAACACATTAATTCCTCATATGTTTTGAATCATTAAAAATTTTTATATGATAAATAATACAGTGTGTACGCCACCATAAAGGGTGAAAAACTATGTTTCAAACCAGTATGAACTCTTTCAGACCCGTAGAGGGGTGAAAAATTTCTTGTTTTTTGGGCATTGCTAAGAGCAAACGGAATTACAGAGAGCTGAAAATTAGTCCCCTGATGACAATATGAACTAGCAAAAAGAGAAATTTGCAGCCATCTCCAAATGGGAAAAGTGTCTCGCTGCAGCCCCGGCAAATTGGAAAAACAAGTGCAAGAATGTCTGGCGGCAGCCAAGGAAAATGCACCTTCGGCCTAGCTGTGCTAGGACATTTTTCAGACTGCTTTTCCTGTTAAAGATTCCGTCTCTTAGACTGTGCGTCACCCTTGGGAGCCTCAGGACACCGCAGTGTTAACCCTTTCTGTCCTGTTCAGTACAGTCCCTCATCAGAGATCATAAGCGTAACCTGACTGAAAGATTATGAATGTGTGCAACTGTAATCATGCACTTTTAGGTAATAAAGGTGACAAAAAAAGATTCTTTGAAGCCACAGAAGAACCACTTTTAAACTGGTGGGTCCTTAAAGGACCATTTTGGATAAGAGGTGCACTTTCTTAAAGGGGAATGGTATTAATTTCTCCAAATATCTGTTTATTTCAGTGGTTCAGATGTAGACAAAGTCATTCGGAGTGGTGTGATGTGAAGTGGTTACTGTAGAGAAACTTACTGACCTGGAATTCTTTACAGTGGTGGTGATAAGAGCCAGGGGTTCTAATGTCTACAACAAAAAGCCATTTTAATTACTGTCAATAACATCCAGTCAACCTACAAATCTTGTCTAAAAAATTTTTTATGTAATGCTGATAATAGTAAAATGTGGTAAATCAGATAAAAATACACTTTTTAGGGACTATTTTGTCGTACAACAGTGAACAGTCCTGAGCTGGTTAGAGTGTTTCACATCAACTTCTCTGAATAATTTTCTTTACATCGTTTTGATTTAATTGTGCTGATGATTTTGGAAAAAATGATGGAATTCTCCTTTAAAGTTTAAAGAACCTGCACATAATGTATTCAATACCAATTCAAGGTTTGTCCTAGAACCATACTGCCAAGCCAAGAATCATTAATCAACATTTAGGAACCATTCAGAGTGATGTAAAATGATTCACTATAGAGAAACTTACTGATTTGATGTAATTTGTTGATAATGGTAAAATTCTTAGAAACAATGTTTTCTTTGGGTGCAACTGTGCCTAACAACACCCCTGCATGTGATCAAAATATTTTTAAAAATGCATTTTAGGTCAAAACCTCACCTCAAAACTATCATAAAAACAATGTTTGAGGCATCAGGCATTTTTTAACCATTCCACTTAATAGCTTTTTGTGAGAGAGTTTTTAGAGGCGTTGCACTCTTCGGATGTCTGGTTCCCAACACCACCACTGTGAACAAAATCTAACTTGGTAGCTTTCCCTACAACAGCGCGTTTCCCATCAAACCACTCTGAATAGGTCTGTTTACATCTTAACAATTTAATTACGAGGATTTTTTGAAAAATCTGAATTCCTTTTCAACTGTTTAGTCATGTCCTATGTGCTCTTAGATATTTCTGCCTTTGCAACAAGCAAATCATTTAATCATTTAAATCAGAAACCCCATTAAGCACTCTCACACGTATTTCTTAACTTTAGAATTACGCACACACTCTTTCTCTCTCAAACTATTTTCCTACTGTTCAGGCTAAGCATGATACCAGCATTTCTCAGGCTATATCTCAACCTTGTAGACCCCTAATCAAATAGACTTGAATTTAACCCGAAGAAGAAGCTGTTTTTAAGAAATCTTCGGCATCACTAAACAAGAGCACAACTCTTTGGCTTCCTTTTGGCACAAACTGTTTAAACAAAGGACAAATCTCTACGTTGTGACATGAATGACAAACGACAAACACTTAATGCACTCAACTTATATTGAGTGTCAGGAGCAGAAAAAAACAGTGATTTACAACATATTTCCTGTTAATTAATCCATAATATACAGTTGCTATACAGTTTATTTACAACACCAGCAAATTATAGGACAAAAAACATCTTTAGCTGTGTAAATATTGCAGTGAAACCTCTGGGCTTTAAAAAGCCACTTCCACATGTACAAAGTCTTCTCAAAAAGATTCACGTAGTGTAAATTTATATGAGCAAGAAGGCCATATTAAGAAGCAAATGATGTGTCCCGATGTCAAGTAAATTTGACAAAAAATAATGCATTTCAAAACAGGGGAAGAGGTAGAGCATGGAAATACTGAAGTGTCAAACACCAATAAACTGGTTAAAGACCTTTTAAATTGCCAGAAGGAAAGCCATTTTCTTAAAAGGGAAAAGTCTTTTGTCAGTGGCTATTGTCCCCTCTTGAATGGGCTGCCAATTCTGGCCAAACATATTCAGGACCAGTTAGCTTAAAAGCAGGGAGAAGCTCAGTTTGCCAATGAAGGCCGAGTGAAGGGGAAAACCCAAATAGAGAAGAGTATCGGTTTGAAACAATGGCATTCCGACGCTGGCCAGGCAGGCCACAAAGGGATGAGCTCAGCCTACATATCAGATTTCCAAAAGCAGTAGGGAGAGGAGAGAACCCCCACTGGCCTTTCAAAGTCAAAAGGTTGACCCACCGCAGTCAGAAAAGCTGAGTGCTGAGGACCAAAGTGAACTGCCAGGAGTTTTTAACACAATACTGAAAGTGGTTCTTCTAGTGTGAATAGTTTCTGTCTTAATTCTGAAGCGGCTCACTGTGGGACAAAAACGGGATTCGAATGTGGGATATGAAGGATCTGTGAAGGATGATTGTGGTGAACATATATTTAATTGCGCATTTCTTTACGAGAATCGAGGTGGTTTTACGGATGAAATGACTGGTGGAACCAGCCAGACTTTTCTGAGATTTCTGAAGCTATCAGAAACCAAGAAGAGAATGTTCAGGGCCAGATGTATGTACGAGTGCAGGCACAGTGCAAAACGGGCCTTGATGCAGCTGCAAAATGAAATTAACGTTTGGTTTACTAAGACAGCAACTTATCACAATTGCGTGAAGCCCCATCCCCTAACTGAGCTGCAGGGTTTGAAAAAGGCAGTGAAATTATGGAGCAGCCAATAAGTGACAACACAAAGGGTAAAAGTTCTGTAACAAAGAGATAGTGGTGTCAATGAATGAAGTTTCTTCCAACTGAAACATTTTGCAGGGGTGTCATTTTGCCACGATGACCAATTTCACATCGCAAACGTCCGGGATAAATAAGCAAAATTCTGTATCGAGATCAACTTTGGTGAACCCTGATGTGTGAATTCGCATCCTCTACCTGTAGTGCTACTGCTAAGCCCGTGCAGACCTCTAAAGGGACAGTCCTAGCACTGAACCCTCAAAATGAAGGAAATGCCAATTTAGCAGTGTCTAAGCACAATCCTTTTATCATGTCTTCCTTGCTGGCTATACATAAACAAACAAAAGAGAGACTGCATGATACCCCAGGAGTTGGGAGACTTCTTTGTGATTTTACAGTTTGTTTCAGATGAGTTAGCCAGCTTGCTAACTGCGAGGTTAGCTCCTTGCTTAACCACAGCTGCACACAAGTCACATCACTGCCGCCAACCAATCCGAACTTTTTTGCTATAGATCAGTGTGCAGCACTATGCTGTGGCGAAAATATAGTTATGTGATATAAGGATGCTTACTTTTGTGTTTTTACTGTTTGTGATAGGTGAGTTAGTCCGCTTGTTAGCTCCTTGGCTAACTGCAGCTGCAAACAAGTCACGGCACTGCTGTCAACTATGCCAGTTATCTACATCTACGACTCAGTGTGCAGCACGATATTTACTCATGAGCAAATATTATCTGATTTAATTATGTTTACTTTTGTGTCGTTACTGTTCCCGGTTAGCAAGTTAGCGAGCTTGCTAACTGCACCAACATGGAGGATATTTTTGTCGCCAATCTTCCGGACCAGCCTTGGTCACTCTTATTTCGCAGGCAATACAAACTGCTGTAGTCTATTGTGACTGCAGCTTAATGCTAGTTTAAGCCTGTCTGTAAAAGGCAGAGAAAAATCGATACAAAACCAGCGGCCGCAACTTTAGTAAATCGAATAGAATATATAATCACACATGTAATATCTTCACCCACTTTTTGCGCGATATTCCCACGTATTACGCAGCCTTCCCTTACATCATACGCATTTTGTAATTTTCCATGCACACAGCCCATAAACTGAGCATTAGGCTTGTGCGGCACTTTTGTACATAACACGTGGGCAGAATGAGTTGGGTTTTCACCCGAAACTGGCTTAGGACACTGTGACCTGAATGAAGAGAAATATGTTCACCTCTTCACCAACGTCTACATTCAGAAAGATCTCAAAAAAAAAAAAATATTGCGAAAAACATTCTGATTTTCACTTCAACATTTTAAAAAATGAGGTAAAACAAAACTAGAAAAGAGGACAAATGGTGAAAAAGGATTAAAAAAAATTTGCTAAAAGCAATTCAACCATGCTGTCCAACATTCCAATCTGGTGTGCTTATGTGTGTTTCCCAAATCGCATAGTCCTCAGTCTCTTCTGTGGTGAAGTTTCCAGTAGAGGTTGTGAATGTGTGGCCTCCTAGCAGCATACAGTGAGATGGTGGCCTCACTGTTCCTGGTGAAGACGGTATCCGATTACCAGCAAAAAAATATACTGGGACTGAACATCACCCATCAGGTGGGAGCAGGCAGGGGGTTCTTCTCCCCCAACCCCCTCTGAATGCTTGGAGCTGGTCTTGGGTGTCTCTGAGTTTGATGTGCTCCAGGCCAGGAGTGGAGCTTTCGTGGGCTCCTCCATCCCCCAGTCCCCCTGTGCAGCGAGGAGACAGGCACTGCGGGTGGCCTCCTTCAAGTCCTCCCCCACTCCCACACTGAGCTTGAGCAGCACCTGCAGAGAAGAGACACATGTCAGTCATTCTGCCATTTTAGAGTCCAAAAAAACCATAGCATGAGCAAGTTTCAGAGTTAACACAACTTATTTCAAACAAGTATGCAATAGCTATGCTCAGAGGTGGGCAGAGAGGCATAAACCCAAGTACTGTTAGGGGAGAGTGGTGCACATACTAACTTACTAAACTGTCAAATGAGTATTTTATGTAGTTAAACAGGTAGGACATGCTCTTAATCATGTTCTCGAATAGATACGATTCATTTACTCGGTTATAAGTACAAATCACTGAATTCATACTTGTATTATTTTAATAACCCTCTTGGTGTCTGTAAATAGCGCATTTTGAAGCACAAATTCACAGTGAGAGCTGGCCAGGCTACAGCAGTGCTACATGGTTTCTAAAGCAAAATTTTCCAGTTTACAGAGTAGGAAAGATGCTTTGTATCTTGAAGATGTCCATTTTAAAAGACTAGCAGTGCTTTGGCCTGAATACTTGGCAATGTTTGTACTTTGCTTTGTTTTTTGTTTTTTTTTTGGTCGCTAGCTGAATTATTCCTTTAACAAAGAAAAACGTCAGATGAAGTTAGTGCTGTATCATTGATGCTAGCTCACACTACAGTTGAAGTTGTAAGCCTATGGCTATTTTAGCAATGCATGCCGGGTACTCTATTGAGAGGACACTGATGAATGAAAACTTGAAAATGATACAAAATCACACACTACAGAATTATACAGAACATAACAATTAACATATTACATGCTAGTTTTAGGCCAGAATGTCTCTTTAAGTACAGGTAACTCAGTAAATGCAACTAGTCACTGTCCTCCTAAAACTCTGGATCTAGCTGGATGCTGTCAGTTTTAATGATGCCACAAATGCCCTCAACAACTCAACAGAAAATGGTTTTTATGTCGATACCTCTTCGGCGATACAGCGAGGAGCCATTGAGGGACATCCAAAAAAGCAGTCCTACCCAAGCCCTTTGGAAAGAGATGGAGAAAGATATTAAGATTGTATCACAGGGTTAAACAGCAAACCTATTAGGATTAGAACATTCCAGCTATTTGAGCTCAATCTTGCAAATCATCGCAGCAGGGCACATTTCATTACTCAAGTCTTGGAGTGTCTACTTGACATTGTTGGGTAGTTTTATTCCAAGCCTCTAAACACCTGCCAACACAACTGTGGGGGGGCCCGGTGGGTGCCTCCCTCACACAAGAGCAAGAGCACAGAAACAGTTTGGCACTCGCGCTCGCTTTTTACATAAACGAGTCCCTCTTGGAGCCCTTTTTATATGCTGTTATATGGTTCGAATTTCCATTGACAAATTCGAATGAAATTACCCTAAAATATTCTAAAGAGTGAGCGGGGAGCGAGGCCGAGGGGTATGAAAGGGCTTTTCACAGTTTTTTCAGAGGCCCGAAAAGCACTGAGGGAGTCTCACATCTGAGCCCTGGGGCCGTTTTAGCCCCCGCAACCGCCAAGTGCCCCCCCGCACCCCCCACCCCCCACCCACTGCCGCGACGTACAGGGCCTGCCTTCATGAGCTCAGGGGCTGGAGCAGGAAAGGATGAAGGGCGGGATGGAGGGAGAGGAAGGCTTCGGAACTCAGGCCAGCTGTGGGGCCCAGTGTGGATGGTTTGCTGCTGTGTGGATGGTTGACTTGCTCTGTCTGGCTCACAAACACACTGCCTTTGGCCAGCACTCTACAGGCACTAAAACTTCAACACATGGACCAGTAACACCCTTCTGCTCCATATGCAGCTCACAGGGAACTTCAGAGCCCACGCTCTGATCCACGGCAACGAAGGGAGAAACCGTAGCTATCCTGTAGCTATAAGGGTGCGGCTAGCTTCAGTGATCTCACAGATGCATATGATAAAATGATTGGGAGTTGAAATGGAAAAAAAGTATAAACTGAGCTCAACAACTGGGGCTTACAAAGTTACAAAGAACTGCATTGAGGCTGAAAGTACATATCATGCAAAGATACACAGTACTATTCTCCTGCTTAGTCTGCATGACAATCAAGCGAGTGTGAAACTTTTTGGAGAGACAACACAGTTGGTCATCCTCATGACTCTAAACTTTGAGCTTTAGAAGAAGATGCCAAAAAGGGTTTTTTGGGGTCTTCAAACACAGATCTTGAATCTAGTTTCCGGCACTGGATTTTCTAATCACTGGCAGTTAACTAAACTGTTGATGTACACTAGATATTCACCTTGCTGAGATAGCATGACCACAGCTGGTCCGGAAGGCTGGTAAATGCTGGTGTGACTGGCCTTAAACGATTGGCCACCCATGGCTCACCTACCAGTGATTACAAAATTCAGGACTGGAAACTGAATTCAAGATCCAGATATGAAGACCTCTGACACAGAACTACTACTTTAGATTCCCTCAGGCAGTGGCTCTTAAACTGGTCCTCAGGGCCCCCAGATGGTCCACAGTTTTGCTCCAACTCACAACTTTTTAATGGGATAGAGATAGAGAAAAAATAAAGACTGTATAGGGGTCCCTGAGGACTGGTTTAAGAACCACTACCCTCAAAAAACCCATTTTGTAAAGATGATGTGAGATGTGAAAGGAGAAAGCACGTTTTTGAAGTTGAAAGATCTTTCACATAATGTAAAAGGTTGCAAACCAATGAACATTTTTCTCCTAGAACTGTCTGTTCAAGCCAAAACCATTTGAAAACTATTATTGTTCAGTGAGTACTGTGTGTAAATTTACATATTTTAATACATTTTGATAGGAGAAATTTAAAACACATTTTCTATCTATACTGTATGTCTACAGTTTGAAGAATACTATAGTTTCAAATAAACATGCTATTTACAACAGGAAAGTGTCTTCAGCCTGGATGCACACTATAGCGACCCAGCACTTATAGCACTGGTTTATAAGTAAGAGGGTGTTGCAGGGATGGAAGATGTATAAATCAAAGTAGAGGCTTCGGATTCTCTGATGCATCTCTGACAGCGCAGGCCTCCCTTTTGGCAAAAGCCAAGCGGGAAATGCCAAGACAAGATCATCATTTCTCCTTACGTTCTTAATGGAAAAAAGTACCGTGTACAGGAGGAGCTCTGGCAGACAACGTCAGACACCTTAATTCACTCTGATAGACAAACACTCCCATAAAAGGTATGCTCATGTAAATTACAGAGAAGTTCACAAAACATCGCTCTGGCTGGTGCGCATGCATGTTTTTCTGACCATCAGAAAGTAGAAAATGATTCTAGCTGCAGAAGTGAGCAGTCCAACACACTAGTCTACTAGCCTCAGTGTCCAGTTTGCAATATCATTCAGATATGATGAGCATCAAGACCAGTGAAAGAGCTTTAAGCAGTGCTATACATCTCACTAGCATTATCATCTTCCCTAATGAAAGAGATTGGTGAAAACTGCCTTTGTTGTGTGTTGGACTCGAAGAAGCACTAAAAAACAATGCACATGAGCATTAATAGCAAGCAGTAATTCTTTTCTTACATGATGAATGCTTGCTTGACTAAATTTGTCCTAGTGTTTCCAGTCTGAGATGTTTTGAGCTTGTTTTCCCCAGAGAGAGCTGAGAGTTATTTGCATTGTGTAGTTCTTATCTTGGACCTCGTGTTTATTCTTTGAGCCTCAATGCTGTCAGAATATCCGACAGCTCCTGTTGGAAGTATTGTACTTGACAGCCTTCTCCATTGATTAGGCAAAACTATAAAAGCACGGACAGCATTACAGCTGAGCGTTTTTTGCTTTCTCTTTGCCTGTCACAATCAGCCTTGTGGAATCTGAATTTCCACGTTGTGTAATTTTGCTATCGCACACTGTCTTCAAATACTACTTTAAGGAATTCCACTGTTTTTTTTTTTAGCTTAATTCAATTGTTTAGATGTAAAAAAATAATGGATGTAAAATGGTGCATTGTGGAGAAATTTACTGACTCGGATTTCTCTGCAATGGTGGTGATAAGAACCAGAGGCTGCGATGTGTGAAACACAAATATAGCCATTTCATTTATATTCCAAAATAACCAGGGGATCTACACGTGTCATCTGAGTTTTTACTAGTAAATGTTTTAGTCTAAAGCCTTTTCTGCAAAGTATCGTAAAACAATTTCTCAGGCAACAGGCAACATATTCATAACCATTACATGTAAAAGATTCTGAAACCGAAACTCTTCAGATGTCTGGTTCCAATCACCACCACTGTGATCAATTCTGACACTGCAAGTTTCTCTAGAATAGAGCATTTCACACCAAATTGCTGTTTACATCTGAACGATTTAATTATGCTGCAATTTCGAAAAAATCTGTGGAATTTCCCTTTAATTAAGCTAGCAGCAATGTTAAGGGAGCAGTGGAGTAAATTTAAAAATGAACAATACAAAACCTCCTCAAAATGTCAAAAAGCAAATCAGCTCTTCCACCATGCAATGCATTTTCAAGACTAGCTAAAAAAAAAAACTAACATGATCACAACCTAATGGCCACAGAGAAGGCTATAAAAGAGGGATACTTCAAACACCAATACATTAATAAAAAAAGTCAGAGACAGATAAAGAAAAGAAGAACACATTTTAAATTAGCCGAATCTGTCATCACTAATCACAGTAGTAGTAAACGCTGAAGACAGTAACCATCTTATATTTTGAGCACAGTTGTGATATTGATACGTTACGTTTCGTCTCACTAAACTACGTAGGCCAACCTAATTTTTATCAAATTATCATATATCACAGTATTAGATATGACAACTGTAGTAGACTACAGCATTTTTTTTTCTTTTAATTTATTTATTAATTTTTTTTTAGGGCTCTTAAAATGTCTCACTTGGAAATTGTTTTGAAAAGGGGAAATACGTCATGTGATAAATACTAAAAGCACTCGCAATAAATCCACACAGTCGAGCTCATCCGTCTGATGCCGTGGCTCTAAGTGGGCCACGCGCTGAATGTCGTAAATCTCGCGGGGTTTGATAACGAGACAAAGGGGGAAATAAGCCTCGGGAGAAGCGTACTGGACTGAGTATAATCTGAGGAGATTAATGGACAAAACTAATTAAACAATTCACCAAACATTCTCAGACACCTCCGACTCCAAACACTGAAACAAGCCACATAAACTGCTCATATCATTTTTAAAGCTCTCTGAGGAAAAGGACAAATTAGCCAGCGGCAGTTCACTGAGGTAGGCTATCACAATGTCTCATTTCTGATTACAAATACAGGCTAATAAGTCACCGGTTCAGTTTCATGATATTTTTAAATGCTACTTCAGTTTTACACAGAAATGTCACAGAAGTGGCTCAGTACATTTATATAATAATACGGTAATTATGGATAAAGGACTAGTCTTTGCGAACAATTTAATTTTTCCCGCCTTGTATCTGCAGTCTGTTCTCTTTCCATCTAGGAACGTAAAATTACACGACGTCCGTACAGAGAAATTATTTAAAATTAAGGGTCATTATTAATATAATAATAATAATAATATTAATAATAATAATAATAAATCGTAATAAATTAGTTGTATGAATATTGTTAACACTGACAGAGAAAAGGAAATGCTGCGTGTCTCTGTAGAGTTTTGAAAAGTTTTTCACTTATTTTCAATTGATCCTGCTGTGGTTACACGGTACTGTATTTTTTTAAACATGACAATAATGTTTAATTTCAAATATCTCCGTAGTTTGCATGCTAATAATTTAGCATTTTATCATTTGATAATAAAACACAGACAGTCTTTTCAATGAAGAAATCCTGACTGTCATTGTAATTTAGTCTATGGCTAGTTTTTATCTGTCTGAAAACCAGGAACATTTTTAATGGCCCTGGACTTTTTTTTTGTGAATTTGAACTGAACCATTTCTCTACCAAAGATTGTACACTGCTCTATTCCAGCAAAAGAAGCACCACATTTTTTCTCTTTATGCTGTGTCTGTCAGCTCCAGACAGAGTGTTGGAAAGTGTGCTAATTAAAGCTCGTTTCTCTGAGAAAGATTAGCTGTAAAGCCCCCAGAGGTTAAGCCACCTAAAGTTGTTCATTATCCAGCCATTAAGTCATCACAGTAAACTCAACAGTCCATAAAACCACCAATTCATCATGCTCATGCTGCAAGTCCATTGCATTTACCTTCTTTGTTGTCACTCTGGCCTCTTGCTCTGTCCCAGAACCCCATGCACTTGCCATTCCCAGGGTCCTTTATCAGAGCCTTGCTGCTAGGGCCATACCAGGTGGCATGTTGCTCTGTCATGAGAGAGTCAAGGTCAATAGTATTCACAGAGCCTTTTCCTGACTCTGGGCTGCCGCTTGCCAGAGCACAGTCTCCGTTGGGTCCAGACGGGCAGTCCGGCTTTTTGCCAGTCTTTCCTCCGAGTGGCTGGTCCTCGGAAATGCTAAACTGCTGCCTTTGCAGCTGGATTTGGGCCTGGAGAATCTCCAGAGGATGCACTTCGTCTTGGCCTGAGCTACCCAGCGGTGTCCTCACCTGCTCCATGCAAGGCGTGTCAGGATAGCCAGTCCTGTTGTCTGAATTACATTTTATGCTGGTTCTGTTGGTCCTAGGATCCTCATTGCTGTAGTTAGGGCTAGCATCATCTAGATAATCCATACAAGGTGAAACACCATCAGATTTTCCCACGCTTTGAATACCGCTGTCCATAGAAGTTGCAAGATCAGGTTTTCCAAAGGAAGGGGAGACAAGAGAGCCATCAGGTGTCCTGCCATGGCCCTCAATGCCCATGCTCAAAGAAGATGCTTGCTGGCCTGGACTAACCACAGGGTTGCTGCTGCATGAGGGGGAGAAGTTTCCTGGACTTATGTGCCCACTGTCCCGTCTTCTCTTTCCTCTTCCTCGGCCACTGCCTGTTGCTGCTTTCCCTTCATTCCCAGAATCTATGTTGTTGTTTGGGGAGAGGGTGCTAGTTTCCCTTTTCGCCATCTGGCCTGGAGCACTTTGACCCGCTGTTGCATTGTTGTTATTCCCAGAGCAAGATGTTTGACTATTCTGAGAAGCATTGCTCTGAAAATACTCTGCCCCTGGGCCACAAGCCCCGCCACCGCCACTGCTATTTACGTCCTGCTCCACCTGACCTGGTTTGCGTTTGGCCTCATTTTGGCTCTTCTTATTAAAAGTCACATTGAGGTTTGGGGCCCCTAGACTGGCAATCATATTCTGGCAGGCAGTGGAGAGAGCTGCCAGACAGCTTTGGCCAAACACACTGTCTTTTGTACTGGCTTTGTTTAAATTCCCCAAAGACAGGGCCCCAAGCTTACTGACTGACAGGTGCTGGCTGGAGAGGTACTCAGGATGGGATTGATAGTTCCCTGGTGAGGAGATGAAGCCAGGAGGATTGCTCTGGGGGGTTCCCTGCTGATTTGGCCCCCCAGGAGGAAAGCTGTGCTGCCGCCTCATAGCGGCTCCTCCAAATTCATGCTGACTCCTGTCCAGGGGTGTGTTTGGCTGCATTGTTCCGTCATTGGGTGGATGTACCTGCAGAGTATTGTTCATGCCATTTTCAAACTGACTGTGTGGCCCAGGGGAATTTAAAGACTGCATGTCTCCAGTTGTTACCCCTGATCTAAACATAGGATTGTGTCCATTTTGTGTCTGCTCCATTGCATGAATATTAGTTTCCCTACACTGCTGATGTGAATCAGGAAACCAGGAGTTTTCATGAGGTAGGTGGGGGCTCTGAGCCTCAAAGTTGCCATGAAAATTATGCTTCTTTTCAAAATTCACCTGCGACATACTACCCAGCGGTCCTCTCTGAACCATGCCATTTGGTGTTATGTCCCCCTGGTGACTTAGAGGCTGGAGCTCGGCTTGCCTCAGTCTGTGCTGCTGATTCCTGGATGCCATTTGTTTAATCATCATAGCTGCGTTTTGCCGGCGAGGCAGCGGCTGCTGTTGGTGTGGGCCACAGCTTAAATGTGGGAGGCCCGATGGAAAACCATCCATCACGTGAGCAGTGAAGTCCCCCATGGGAGCAGGGAAGGCAGAGGGAGAGAGGTGGTTCTCAAGGCCCGGCCGATTATGTAAGCTGCTGCTCATGGGGCTGCAGCTCTCTCCAGCAGAGCCATTTGGGAGATCAAACCGCGGCCTCTTGGCCATATTCAAATAGGGAAAGGAGTTGAGGTGCTGCTGATGGGGTGGTTGAGGTCCAAGCTGGGGAACGTTAAACATGGGCTCCCCAAAAGAATGCATGCTGTGGTTACTTAATCTGTGCATGGGATGATCCATCTGGCCATGCTGAGCATGGACCACAGCACTGCCATTTTGCATGTCTGGACTATTTGGAATAAAGTCTGGGGCATGGTACAACCGGGGAAGAACAGGGGACCCAGGGTTCTGTCTGGCCATGGGCCCTCTCTGCTGGGCCATGAGGTGATGTCTAGCAGAGACTCCTGGTTCCAATTTCCCCCTGTTCCCAAACCTCTCTGAATATGTGTTTTGCTGAGGTAGTTGTTGGTCGACTTTAGAACTGCCGATCAAAGCTCGGGAGCCGCCATGATTGAAAGTGGGGAAATTACAGCCAGCCATCTGGCTCTCCGCTTCGCAATAGGAGAATCTGGGTTCAGTGGAGTCAGGAGTAGAGAATCCTGTCACATCAAAATGGCCAGGCAGAGGATCACATGGGAAACAGTACTGCGACCCACCCGCCCTTCCCTGTGGGAAAAGCCTATAGTGCTCCAGTCTGTTGCTTTCGGGAGAGGAAGATGGGAGGCCATGGAAAGACGCAGCCCGGTTAGGTGACTGGTCCAGAGGCAAACATGGGGCTGGCACAGCATGATTGCTGTTAGGATGGCTGTGGACATGGTAATCAGGCATACTAGCCAGCCGTTGCTGCTGCTGCTGCTGTGAGAGACATTCTCGTGTCTGGGCTTCTGTGAGCTGACCAAATTCTGACGCAAACATCTGCTGGTGGCCTGTATTGCTGCCATTGAAGCCGATGTGTCTGTCCCCATGCAAGCATGAGGCGACCCCATCGTGGTAGGGGTGTGAAGGCTGGTCAGGATTAAGCTGTTGGCTGTTGAAAGGCGGCGGCATATGGAGCTGATGTTGCTGCTGTAGTCCTGTAGTGAGCATATCCCCATGGCTGTGAGGCTGGAATCCATACTGCTCTCTGCCTGGCATGAAGTTGAGCCCCTGCATGGGGGGTTCATTCAAAGGATCCAAGACTGGTTCTACAGCTATTGATGGTGCTTTCATGTGAAATCCAGAAGTGTTATAGTTAGCATTCATTGTTACTCTGCACAATAGCTTGTGCAATTAGCTTTCTTTAAGCACACAAAGTTTAAAACAAAATCAAAGCAAATAATCCGAAGTGATGGGGGATCCCATTTTCTGTAATTCCAAATATTTTTTCTTACTTTCTTCCTTTCCAACCGGGTCCATACTGTTAACAAAAAATAAATTTAAAAAATCTTAAATAAGTCACTAAAATACGTATCTGTGATAAAATTATTAATAAAAGCCCCGTCTTAGTTATAAGTAGTATGTACTGTTATTTATTATAATAACAGGATGACATAATATTTATGATAAAAACTGGGATGACATTAATTGCCAATACCTCCGGAGACCCAACATGAGGGCAGTCGGCGTGATATCCACGTAGTGCGAAAAACTTTGGTACCTTTGCAGATGACGAGGACAAGTAAGTGACCTTAAGGAGCTGATCCTGGAAAACGTACATCTTCATAAACACTCTGTAATATTCATTTTGCAAGACGAAACGTTCCTGGGAGCGACGGCGAATCCAGGACGTTGCAAAGCAAAGCAGCGTAGCCCGCGCACAGTCCCATCTTAGAGCAATCCGGCAATATGTACTATAAAACTCTCTCACTCCACTGTAACAGCGGCCGTTCCTGATCCGCTAGAGGATGAACTTGTCTTACAAATTCAAGTCTCTGCGTCCGTCGCCTGTGAACTGAATGTCCAAGACAACCGCGACTCTTGTCACTGTGTGAAACATATCCAACCGGCTGCGCTTAGTCCCGTTTACTTGGCTGAGGCTGCCCAACTGACCATTCGCAGTATTTAAAAAAACGGGGAGCTCCTGAAGGCAGCCCAGTTCATCTTCATGTTGGACGTGTTTATCTCGCCACTCGGCAACAAGTTTGACATTCCCTCATCTCCACCAGCGCCCACCGCTCACCAATACGGCCACGGCGGGGAGGGCGGGGCCTGACATAGCCACGCCCCCAGACGAGGAGGGAACGACGACCAGGGACTTTAAACTAGTTTAAGTAATAAATATATCACCATATTGCTAATGTTAAAGTTTTTTATGAATAAGGATAAATTATATTTTAACTGATTTTATATTTATAAATTTATATTGTAATTGGTATGTATATAATGTATAAATATGAATCTACTCCTCGCTTAAGTGCTGGCAAACTGCACAAATGAAATTTTAAGTGTAATAAAAACTGAAGAGAAAAAAAAGTAGGATTTAGTGTCCATACCTAAACTACAATGTATTGCAATTTCTGTACTGTTTCTAAGCACAGTATGCAGTATTGTTGCAGATAATGAAATACATTAGGAAAGTGAAGTATTTAACCCACACCATGAATTTATGGTGATAATGTGATTATGCGAGTCCTGCTGCTGTAGTAAACTCTGTTAAGCTTCCCTCACCCTGAGAAATCAGTAGGGCCACCTGTCTTGTTTGAAAAGGTCACATATTGCCATCTAGTGGTGACTAGCAACACGTCTGTGCATACATAAAAGCAGTTTTAATCTAAAAATATGAAATGTTTTGCATATAACAAGAATTGCAGTAATAACAGGATTCATATTAATGTAAAAATAGGTAAAACCTTTGAAGGAATACTGTAGAGATGAAACCAAACATTTAAAACCTTTTATGCTGAAATTTATTAGACATTCTGTTAAGTTCCACTGTCTAAATCATTTTTGTCCAATTCAAAAGCTGTAAAAACAGAAAAGAGAACGAACAAAAAAGATCTTATTGTACATTCACTATTTCTCCTGAATTTCAAATTATCCAAACAAAAAAAAACAGTAGCTTTTGCAAGTGCTTCTTTGTGGTTATATTATTACAGTATTTCTGATTTAAACATTGTATCTGACACATGTCCCTCCCCACCCTCCCTCCCCCAATAATCAAAGAGCAATTTCAGTGTACAAAAGTAATGCAAATAACCTATGAGGGATAGCATTTTAGCATTCTTCAGCCATATGTGGTGCAGCATTTTCAGTAAAACAGACATTCAAACTTGATTTGAGGACTTGTATGGAATGATTTTTCTGCCAGGACTTGAATTTGAAATGCATCAGAATTTTTATGCCATTATTTGGATTTGTACATCAAGCTGAATCAGATCAAAGTGAACTTGTATTCCAGAGTTTGAGCACATATGTGCATGTAGAGCTTTTATATGAGCTTTTGAAATGAATGTAGTAAATTAAAATGGCATTAGTAAGCTTCTGTATCTGCTACATCACAGTATGTGCATTAGTAATGATGTGGGGCAGAGCAATGTGTCGACATCTAGTCACTCTGTAAAAGATAGCCCTTGATGACATCATCTGCATGACTGTCCCACACCAGACATATAGCATCCTTCTTTTAGTTATGGTAGGATACAAAAAGCAGGGCAGGTGGAGCTGCGCATCTCTGCTCATGGGCTTACCTAATTCTAGTGTTTCAGAAGGTTGAAGGTGATTAATTAAATTTGAAATGTTAATTTACATTGCTTTGATTAGATTCATTACAAAAATACATACTAGTTATAGAATACAAATTTGGTCTGTTCTGATTCAAAAATTAAAAACATTAAATACAAAATTAATTTAAAGGCATAAAGAATTCCAAACCAAATTTACAAAACGCAAATCCAAGTCTTATTGGCACAAAAATTAGTCCACAGACATACACAGAACAGCACAACTCAAACATCTTCCCTTATTCTAAAGTACCTCAGACAATGAGTAAACACAAGCAGATTAGCTGGGATGCAACATGAAAAGTTTCTTCATTCAAGTGCTGCACTTGATAAAATGGCACTGAGGCTGGCACTGTGATCTGAACAGATCCTGCCAGCTACAGTGACTGACTCAACATTCACAAAGGTTGAAATGTGAGAGGACATCGTTCCTATAATAATTTCAAAAATCTACAAGTTGCTAAAAAATAATGCACCAATTTTGCTTTGACATTTTCAAAAGATTCACTTCAAAACAAACGTAACAGTCCTGCAGGGAGAGGTGAATGCAAAGGGTTTTTACACATCAGGCACACCTTTGCTTTCAACGTCAAAAACAAGCCTTTAGCTGTCTGAGAAACCCTACAGCCTACCACTATATAATCTGAACAAAACCCGGTGGTTGCAAAATGTGAAAATGGCTATCTGCAGTTACAAATCATGTACAGATCTCTGCCACTCTCAATCTCACCTGTTCCAGAATGTAATTATAGATGTTTAACAGAAAAACTGTACACACGCTATGCTACTTCAGCGTTACTACATTAAAACATGTTTCTCAGCCCTGCAAGTTGGGTTTAGTCTCTTGTGTGACCAGTGCAAATGAGCATGATAACTGTGTTTTTTGCTAGGTTGGCTGATGAAAGGCTGGTGCACACAGGTAGAGATGAGGACTCCTGACTGTAGAACTGGAGGTACAAGAGAGGCGTAGCAGAGAGGTCCTTTTTCAGGTAGAGATCCTCCCGGTTCATAACATTCTCATGTATCTCTAACTTAGTTTGGAGTAGGAAAGTACACTCTTGCAGTTTCATATCTTGAAAAGGCCCTTTTTGCTTTGTTTTATATCTTCTTATAGTCCGGTTTCTTCGTCATGTAAGTCTATTATCTGACTTGCCTGCGATTCATGCATGTCTGCATACAGGAACATTTGAGATTTAGCTGTACAGTACATGCCCTAAAAGCTCTAGAAAAAGCAGCAGTGATTGCATTGCTAGCTACTCTAAATCTCAGAAAGGATCAGTTCCTATCTGTTCCTGTCAGTGGGCACTGCCTGAGTCTACACCCAGCCCAGTGCTGAGCACGGAGGCCCCCCCTGAGAACATGGAGACCTCTAGTTAGTTTAAAAAACAAAACAAAACAAAAAAAGTAATAAAGTAAAAACACCCACTATGTCTTGGCATAAGCTGAGCTCATGTAAAACCATTCACCAAAAGGTCTGTTTGTGTGGTTTGCCTAATAGGACATTTAGTATAACTGATGTCAAATCAGGTGGCTATTTGTATATGCTTGCTTTTTGTTGCTGAGAGCATTGCCTCCATGCAACAGCATAACTAGATCTAGATCTTTCTAGACCAGACAAGACAAGAAAAGCAAAACTATTACAATTAAAAGAGTAACAAGCTAACCGTGATTATTACAATAACTTAAAATAGATATGAACATTTCAATCCAACTGACATAAGTGCTTAACTTGGGGAGTCTGAGAGGATGGGGGTCAAAGATACACCTTAACTGGTGAGACTAACTCGCAATAGAATCTATAGTTAAAGTTATGAAAGTACTAAAACAGACAACTAAAATTGGTCCAGCAACTGACACTGAAATTAAAAGAATCTCATCACCATGCTCACTTATTCCTAAAATGATGCAAACCCCTTACTCAAAAGTACCATTTTCTACCATTCTTCACTAATATCATCGTAGGCTAATTACGTGCAGTGGCAAGAGTCTTTCCGTGTCAGTGTGAGGCTGTTGTCTATGTTGAGAAGGATGACTGGGAGTAACGCTGAGCAGGATACAGTACTACCGATTGCTGGGACATTCCCTCAGGCTGGTGGAGGACAGAACCACACAGTACGCCACTGGTCAGCTTCGTTTGTGTGTCGCTTTGTTCGCTTGTCAGAATATTACAGTAGGATCCTTTAGTTTCGTCTCATTGTTCGTGAGCGGCACTGGTACCTCGAACCTCACCAGTTTTACGAAGCTGAAACATAGAACAGGAGAAAGAAAATGAAATAAGGAATCACAGATCAAAGAAGAACCCTCAACGCGAAGCACTGACACAGCTGTATGACACAGCTGTATTCTATTAGTGCTATTAGCCCTTACATATACCCTAAGCTTTCCCATATTTGGCATACAAGCGTATAATTGCTGTTGGACAAAAACCTTATATCTCCAATATGGAATTTTTACAAGAGATGAAGTGAACATAAGCTAATGTAACAAGATTTTATTCTAAGTACTTTTATACCATTTCGAGTGGCCCATTCATCATTACATGTTGATAAAATATAAAGGGCTGCTAGTATTTTCAAAGTATGTTTATAAAATATGTAAAGATACAAGGTTTTGTCCTGACAGTAACGATATGCACAATTAAGTAAAGCAAGGGCATGGTGACTTGATCTAATCTCAGTAGTTTGGGATAGTACAAACTTCAGCATTCCAAGTGCAAGAGAATCAGTACTTTCATTCCTGCATTTTATCACAACTGCACTTAAATAAAGAAACATCTGAAGATAAACACTTTAGATCCCATGCAGCAATTTCAAATCAAAAGAAAAAAAGGTTAAAAGAGACAGAATGGTTAGCACACAGTGAACAAATAGAAACAAGGATTTCTGAGAAGTCTGGAAGGAGTTTACTGAAGAGCCAAACAGGGGGAGGAGGAATAATAGGTCAAATATGAAACCAGTGTAGTCTACCCAGACATTCTACTCCTTTCTGAGAAGGAAGGTTTTTGTCAAGAGAACAGTGAGCCTGTAGAAGAGAGAGTGCAGCTAAAGAATAGCATAATCTATCCATCTTGAAGACGTTGAAAAATGAAAGACAAAATGAGCAATGCACTTGAGAAAAAAAAATTAGACAGACTATGAAGCGATGAAAGGTAAATGGCAGAAGATGAAATGGTTCACAAGCTTGACATCATGCATCAGCAACACCTGTGTGGTACAGGACAGACTGTCTCCATTTGGTCCACTAGCCTGAAGTAAGAACTTCTAACTGAAATTAAACCTCCAAATAAATTACAGATCTGGTCAACATAATTTTTCTGTTTCTCACTTGAGCATTTGAACTCATGAGCAGCAGATGATGCCAGCTTTCTGTTTCTGATTTATCACATTGGGTGGTACTGGTTCTCTTGGCCTTTGCACACTCCAGCAGGCCTGAACAGCACAACCTTTCCTGTGGAGGAACACCAGTACTTGGACTAAATCGAATACTGACAACACCCTATTGCGAGTCCCCGATCTATTCTTAACATTTGCTGGCTGTGAACCCGAATGGATACAGTAGTGAATGGAAAACACTGGGGACTGTGTGAATGTGAGGCATGAGAACACACAACACCGGTCCCCCCAGCAGAGCCTCGCCCTCCGATTCCTGCAGAACTTACGGATCTCACTCCACCTGTCTCGCTATTAGACGGCCCACAGCTACTCTTCTACTGCTGTTGTGCCTCTTACTGTGCCCTTGCAACGCATCTAAACACAAAACAGGAAGACGTTAGCACACACAGTGCAGTCCGAACACTAATTCCTGTGGGGAGAAACAACAAAAGGTTAATGCATTTCACAACTGAAAGAGTAATCCAGAGTTATTGATTCCCATCAGACCTGAAAAGGGAGAACAGCTTAACATCAGCATCAAAATCATAATCAACATCTTGTTCTCAAAAAGGCTTTGGAAAATAGTGCTTGGAAGAACTAGGCCTAAGTGAAAATGCCAAAGTAAACCATCAAATCAAGTATTAGGCAAAAACAGCACAGTTTAAGCTTGGCAGAAGGATACTAGGAGAAGCACAAATTTTTGAAAGTTGGACTGAACATCTAGGCTTCATTTATATCACACTCGCCACATTTACAGAAGGAAATGCTATCCAACTTTAAAAACTGAGATAATAAAAGAATTAGGCTAATGAAAAGACAAATTACAGAGGTCAGACCATTAGTTCTAATGAGACTGAAAGTTGATGATATAAGAATCAATACAGTCTATTAGCTTTGGCAAACTACAGCTAAGAGTTAACCTAATACCAAGCTTAGCCATGGGCACTTGGAAGAGAAAGTATCGATCAGTATTTCCCAGGGAATGGAAAGTCTGTAGTTTTCCTTGGCTGTGTGCTGAAAATGATCATAGAGTGCGTCAAGCTTTGGAGGGACTGTGCGGTTGGATTGCATTTCTAACAAGCTGAGAGGAAGAAGCCAAGCCAACTACCAGCCCTCTTTGAGTTGGGCCATGTTCAACACAAACACACACTGAAAATAGAGAATATTACAGAGTAGCCAGTGACAACCAGAAGAGAAAAACAATACTAAGCAATACTGAGTCTTTTATTGCACAAAACATGTCTTTCCTCTAGACTCATGTTATTACTTATAAACTTTACTGATATAGTGTTAGAACATGGAGGTGCTACCTAATGCTACTGTATAAAACTACATACAATGAACTTATTTTTATTTTGACTTTGCATAAATCGTCACTATGGCTGAATGTGGTTCCTAAAATTCGAACTTCACTGGACACAGATTGTGATCCAATTTCTTTAACTTTTCTCTACAAGACTGGAAACCAGAATATTCAATATACAATATATTGTAGGCTTACATGAGTTAAATTGCCATGCAATTTGTGTGCCAAGTTTACTTTGTGAAAACGTCATATAATTAGTACATTTACCATTTGAAGTTAGAACCAGCAAGAATTGCACCCATTATAATCTTTTTCTAGACACTATAACAGCAGTACACATTCCATTTTTAAAAATGACCTAATTTCCTACCTTAAGTACACATACCATATGGCACTGGTAATGGCACAATCAGCAACTGAGCCATGTCTATTAAGGACCAGTTCTTGAATTTATTAACAATGGTTACAATCAATATAGCTTTTCTGATGCAGAGAAAAAATTCCACACTGGGAATAGCTATGTCAAAGTTACCCACATTAGTGAACAGAATCTAACATCACATCTGCGCAAGGCTGTGCTACTAGTGTCACACAGGCTTTACCTCTTCCAGCTCCTTCTGTGTCTCAGCCTCCATCCGCCGGATGTCCTCCATGGTAAGCTCTACCCAGTTGTCAATCCAACAGAACAGCTGGCGATGGAAGTTCGTAAAGATTCTTTTCTCTTGCTGCAGACAGAATGGCAAAATGCATTAGCAGACACAAAGATAAGGCGATGTTCATACAATTTATTTTAAATCAACAAACACTAATCGGCTTGACTAGGTTACGCTTGAAAATTTTCAGTATATCAGTATACAAAATTTGGGATGTATCAATATTTCTGGCTAAATACGATGACTGATGGCCAATAATTAAAACCTTGTTTTAGCTGATATCTATAACTGATCCACTATGCTGTTTAAGTGAGTTTAAAAGAAGGGAAATTCTCACTACTACTACTTTAAATTACCAAATAGCATTGTCCGCCAATACCACCACCCTTATAGCATACCTTTGTTATACCATAAAAGTTATTTTAAACATGCACACTTACTCTGTGGATGAACTGCTCTATTTTGCTTTGAAGGCCCCACCACTTGAACTTCACAGTAACTAGTTTATATGCACACATTCGTGGGGCATCTTCTTTTGCAGTGAGCTCTGACTGTTAAGAACACAACAGAATCATCACCCATAAAGAAGTGTTTAGAAAACTCAATCTAAACAGCAAAGTAAATAGGCAGGCTGGCATGGAAAGTGAACCAACATCTAAAAAAAAAACAATTGGGCTAAATAACAAAGAAGGTAAGATTTCAGGTAACTGAAAAAACAAAAGAGCAGGTCATGCACCTTCCAGTCTGGGCCTAGTGGACCTCGGTCTGTTTTCTCTGAGTGAAATAGCGCAGGGTCTTCTTCTGGTTTATAATCCTGCAGACACAAAAGGGAAACCATGCAGATAGCTCAGACTATGCAATGCTAAAGTATTTTCTAGGAACTTTTATTTAATATACTTTCTGAGAGGGATTAATAATCATGAGCAACAAGAAGAATGAAGAGATACATTCATACTTTTTTGTGTTTGTAAGTCACTCCCTAAACTGTCTTCAAAACTGCATATATGCTGGAGGGATAAAATAAACTGTGCACTCTAGTCAGCACTTAATGTAAGTCACATGAGCTGCCTTGACTCACATTTTACCCTGTAATATAAGGGCAAGAGTCCTTAACTCCAGACCCAGCATAGTTTGGCAATTTCCTGTTCAAACACATCTGATTCAACTTATTTAATTGCCTAGTTTAGTAGGAGGGCAATTACCAAAGTGTGCTGGAAACTGGGTCTCTGGTATGAGTTGCATACTCCTGCTGTAAGGAATTAATTCACACTCTCACCCTCTCTTAACACACATATACCCCACACTCTCCCTCACATACATGCACAACACACCCTACCTTTTAAACTCTAAAACCTATGCACTGAGCACCTTGTGCAGATGGTAACTAGGATTAGCCCTGCCCCAAGACTGATCCACTTAAGTCATTAAAGGTACAAAGCAAGAAGATACTGCAGTCCTATGAGCACTAGACATTTATTTCCCCTTTACAAAAAACAGGGTCAAAAGGAAGGTGAGTGACGCATTGTACATTGTAATAATGTATTGCAGTCTGTCGTAACAGCAGCATGTTCTACATGAACATTGCGGGGCATTATTGAGCTTGTTTGGTTTTTAAGTATATGACGCATCAACTTTTTCAGTAATCAAAAAGAGGCCAGGAGGGATTTCACTGTTCCGCTGTTAGGAGACGTGTGGAGTCTCACCTCTGAAGCAGGGCTTGGCTATTTGCCGATGGCTTAAGGATTAGAGGCATCTCAAGTAAACTGGTGCATCCAACACCAAATGAGGTTGGAGGGCATGAACTGGTCTATGTGCACCCCACACACACACACACACACTCTAATCCACCATTACATCATAGACAAGACCTTTGGATATGGCAATCAGGGAGCAGACCAAACCAGGCATGGCGTGTGACAGGACATGGCCAGGAGATTCGAAAACTCATCAGTGTGAGTGTGTCCCGAATTAATAAGCATGGACTGCAAAATTATATCTGCTTCCTAGATAGGGCAGCGGCTACTGTCAACCGGGGCCCGGGGGGGGGGGCATTCATGTCCAAGAGAATGGCAACCACAGAGATGCTAAAAGGCTTTCCACAAAACATACGACACTACTGCAATGTCCAAATCCATTTTAGTAATAAGCTACACAGTTTAAAGTAACTGAAAGTTAAAGTTGAGCCCTTTGCCTTCATACACACACAGATGATGTATAATATTACTGAGGGCTTTTCAAAGATTGGACTTACTCCTGGCTCCACTTGTGATTTGTCTGCTATGTCGATAGGCACTACCTCAACCATCTTCCATGTCTCCAGGTCCAATTCATGTACCTGATTATGCAACAGAAAACGCAGCTACACTCAGCTGAAAACACACGAGACCATGGCCAAAAGAGCAAAATACTGGAAGTGGGTGTGTGTTAAAATGTGTCCATCATCACTCACATTTTCCATAGAGCCCATGTCCGGTTTGTGCCACGTTTCAATTTTGATCATGAAGTCATCTTTCATGTATTCATTCTGCAAAAACAAATGCAAGTCACTGCATCAGATGTAACACTGTCTTAAAATCTTGAAAATCTAACTTGAAACTGACAGGGAGTCTTCACTTTTTGTACGGATTCTCATTCCTTACAAACAGGCTAGTCCTACTACTGCACGCTGTGAGCCAATAACAACTTATCTATAACACTCAAACCATGGAGCAGATTCTATTACATAACTTCACCTTTGGGATGAAACAACATTTGACCACTTACAAGCTGCAAGTGACAATGTCAATGACCATGCAACCAGTGTAGCTCTGAAAGCAGTAATTAAGTTTGGACTGTAAGATTTCATTCACAGATTTCATTTTTCATTACTCACCGTCACAACTGAAGAACATGGAGCAGCAAGCAAGAAATAAAGGAGAAATACAAAAATAAATAATACTTCTGTACAGGATTTTACTATATTCATTACACATCCATATATTATTACACAGAATACAAACATAAAACATAAAAATCAACCACTAACTAGAATCTACTCTAATGTTTTTGTGATTAATCAACACAACTAATAAAATATGTGCATTCATCACTAAGCATTTTAGACAAAATAACATGCTTGATGATGGCAAGTGACTGATGAAAAATCTGTGGTCAGAATGAGGGCAAACCTACTAGTACGGCAGTATGGGTAGGCATTCCAGGCTTTTTCATGGAATACTAGAGCCCCCTCTGGTGCAATCATCTTCAGAAAGGCAGGCACTTTACTGTGCAAGAAACACAAAGAAAGACATGGCATAAGACTGTCATTGCATCCTAGTTACAACAGTTCCTTATTTTGATCTACAGCTATGTAAGATGTGATGATGCAACACCACAGAAGCTGACTTTGCAGACAGGAAACAGTTCTAGGTTTCAAAAAAATGAATGTAGTGCTCTTTAAGGGGAAAAAAAAAAAACACTAGACCTCGATGCAAAAGACATACAAATTGCAGAGTGTATATTAGAGAGTGAGGCATTCTCCCAGCTGCACCCTTGGCCCACTCACTTAACAAACTGAAAAATGTGCACTATAGAGAAAAAGAAATCTAAACTATTTTGAACATTAGTAGTAACAAGATGATTTAAGATAAACAGTGTGCGAACTTAAAGCCACAAACAGTAATTACTGCACTAGGCATCAACTCCCCTTCCGCCTTTTCACTCAGACATGGAGGACCAGTGACAGCATTGTGATAGATTTCTATCTTTAACGCAGGCTTTTCTCACCTTTTTAAGTGATAGATTTTGTGCGTGTATTGTCCTTTCTCTCCCTCTTTTTCATATGGTTCATTTGTCAGCACTTCGATCCCTTCCCCGCCACCTGTCTCGTTTTTGCTGGCCTCAGCCACAGAGAAAAGCTGCCCAACTTGGTACTGCAGAGGACGGAAGGAAACAATAAAGCAAGAGAGCACCATTACTACCTTATTAGTATGGTATTCTCATGAATACTCAAGCTATTTGTGTTCATCCAGTCATTCAACCATCAAACCGCCCAAGGAAATCAGCAGTCATAAACAAACTAGCATCCAAATCAAAAAGGAGGGTACAATGCAATAATCAGGTCAGCATTCAAACAGATCACTGAAATAGGATGCCTTTCATTTCATGTAAACAGTCTTTCCATTTGTTTTGCTCAGTCCAGTCTGTTTTCCTGTAAAACTTCCTGTAAGACTTGCCTGTAACAGTTGCCTCTCATGTATGATCAACACCCAGTGCACTCATTTTCTAAAGGTAAAGAGTTATTTAGCATCTAGGTTGGTAAAGCATTTAGATCTAATTAGGAAAAGTCTGAGTCTGAGTTGGAGGAAAAAAAAAAACTGTATTATGTGAAAAGATGAAATGACAGAGCCTGTACAGTATAATCCTGCTCCCCATAGGAATCTGATAGAGATATTATAGTACCCTTGTCGATAACAAACCCACTAAAGTCAACAGCTGATTAATTTCAATATATTACAAACATATTTCCCAGAGTACATTACAGAACAGGCTCTACACATTTGGCCTCACCATGAGTTTAGATAAAATACTACTCTGGTCACAGACAGTATTAGACATTAGTGCAACACAGTTAATAAACTGTACATAACTGTAGTTGGGGTGGGCAACATGACAATATTTTATTGATACCATGATAAATTATGTCAAAATGTGCTTTTCTGAGCATACCATGGAAATCATTAGTACTTAAAGGACACTGACTAACTGTTTCATTACAAAGTGAGCATAATTAGGCCTAGTTAACTGGAATTAGCACAGAAAGAAAAATAAGAAAGAATAAATAAGCGCATAAAGAAAAATATGGTAATGCATATTGTGTATCGTAAAAATGTCTTGAAGTCTTGTGATAACATTTTGGCCACGTCGCTCACCCCCAATTGTAGTTGAATGCTTATACTGTGAAATCTGCAAGCCATTAAGCACAAATCTTGGCCACTTCGACTTAAACCACATGAGCAAACAGTTCCTGGACAGAGCCTACATGTGGCACACAAAAGCCGCCAACACCTTCTCTCAAGAACATATAACTGATTAGTTTCCTGAAATAATCTTAATAACACCATAACCTGCTGTCCGCTGTGACTCAATAAGTGATGCCATGAATCAACGTTATGATGCAGGGTCATCCCATGCCGAATCTTACTACAGCAATGAGCCGCCCTACATACACATTCTTTTGCCAACCATTACAAAAACTCTGATAACACTTTTTCCCCCCACTACCAGCACACTGAAAGGTGACCATTTGCAGGCACAGCAGGGATATTTTAATATTTGGTTTAATACTAGGGCTGTGCAAAAAATGATTTTGCTGAATAATGTACTCAGTTCACGTAAAACCACAAAGAACAAATGTAAAGGCTTATGCCCACTGAATAAATCATTAATGTAATCATATCTTCTTTGTGGATAGTTAAAGGATATGTGTGTGTGTGTGTGTGTGTGTGTGTGTGTGTGAGAGCGAAATAATTAACATGGACCGACGCTGCAAAGTAGCCCATCACAACCTGAGTCTGCAAGGTAAAGTTTGCAAGTAAAATCTCAGTTATCACATCACATTCAAGAGGGTGAAACAGGGACTGTTATTTGTTTTAAGGGTAAACCTTTGAAACATCATAACAGATCCTTCTGACAGTGTAAATGGTAAAATGTTCCATGGAGGAGGGAAGCACTCACCTCTTCTACTGAGCAAGGCAAGACCACACGGCTGTACAAGAGAGACGGGGGAGAAATCGGGGAGAGAGCAGGTGAGAGACAGGGAATAAATCACTTTCGGCATCAGTCCAAACGATCCAAAGTTCATCAAGCAATAACACTAAGTTTAATTTAGGGCAGTTTACTTTGTTACTTTATCTTCTGTATCCAAACAGATGCAATCCAAACAAAACATGTAACCTTTATTTCAGTTGCTCTGTGCTTATTGGGATCTCAGATTTGTTTAACCCTTCCCACTTGAGATGGCACAACTACTACTCAATATTGAAGGTCTGAGTTTAGGCTGAGATAGAGATTCAGATATTTCTTCTTTAAAAATTACTAAGCATTAAAAGGAGTTTTTAATTGAAGCCCTTCACCTAACACGAAAACCTAAAAGTATGTCATTATGCTCAAACTACTCAAACATACTCCCGTATAGGAAGAAGTACCCAGCAACATGAGCTCACACAAAGTGAGTATGTGCTATTTCAGGCTTGATTTGTTACAGGACTGGATCGGATTTGGCATATTCTGCTAATAACTGCCTGATACCTGGTATCAAATCAGTGCCATCTCTACTTTCCATTTTAACTCAAAAAGAAATACCTAGACCACTAGGTATTTCCTTACTGTCCTGCAACCAAAGCCCCATCAATCCCACCCTTAATCCCAAACAAATCCTGTAGGTGATGGTTAAGAAAGGCCTTTAGTCGTGCCCTCCTGAGGCCAATGAATGGACAAACATTCAGATCATAGCCGTTTGATGCTGTCTAATTTGCAGGACAAAGTCTAATCATAAAAATTTGAGCCACAGACCACTACCAAAGCAAACTCAAACCTCAGTGTGCAAAGTGCTAAGAGACTGAAGAAACACTGCAAAGGGCTGGGTTCTCCAAGCGGTTAGCAATGGACTTGATGTGCCTGGAGTGAGGGGCCAGACGTGACCAATGAGACGGCATTCAAATAAATGACTAAGAGCCTTCTTTGCACATTAGAATGAGCACAGTCCACAGGTAATACATGCAACACATTTAAACTTTCTGCAGAGTTCAGCAAAGCTATAACACTTATACTAAAGACAGTATCACTGTCTGGAAAATCTAACCTAAAGCAGTCTAAAAAGAGACAGGGCTCAATATAAGCTGATCCACAAAGTTAATACACAAGTCAGTTGACAGTAAATCCGAGAATACTGCACGTTTCGCCGCAAAAACACACAGACTCGACAGAAGCAATGTCTAAAAATAACTGACTACCTAAAGAGACTGAAGTGAATATAATTAGCTTAAGGGCGAACGCAGCACGTAGCTAAAGCTAGAGGGGGAAAGGCAAGAGGGACCGTTTAACCACATTAGGTTAACCCAGTAGCCAAGAGCACCACCTCAAACCAGTAATAAGCAGTCTTGACAGAAAGCAACATCTCTCACACGCACAGTGAAAAGGAAACAGGTCCAACTCACTCACACCCTCAGCTGTGCACCAGTGCCACAAAACATAAAATATACCCCTTGTACAACTTCCAACACCCTAGTCAAAGTATAGTGCCACTTTTTTCAATAATGCAGTGTGGCAAACATTTCGACGTCGTCTGACTAAGATGTCAGCTACCGTTATCCGGCTAGTTTCGTTTCCCCGGCATGAAGCTCTGCCTCCGTCACAGCTGGACAGACTTGCTTCAGTTTGCAAAAGTTTTGAAGTCACACTTTGCAATGAAAATTGAAGCATAACGATGTTTCTCTTTGTTTATAACTGTTGTCTACGTTTATGTTTAGCCGTGGGTTGTAGCATGTTAGCTAATCTTTTCCCTACCACCGGCGCCCCAGCCCGAGGCGGCGAAGTCAGGTAAAGTTAGCGCACTAGCTGTGTTAGCGTTAGCATGCTAATGCTGCTAAGCCGGGCCTGAATCGAGCCGGTCTCCACTTCATTTCACCTCACTTCACCGCCCGAGTCCCTCATAATACGGGCGGTACCAAAGGCGGACGAGAGCTCGCATGTAATGACATGATAACGAAACCCAACGGCTCGAACTCCCAGCACAGAGCAAACTGATTTAGATGTGGAAAAACTCGGACTCACTACTCCTTGATGATCACCATCTTCTCTCCGCCCGGCTGCGGCTGCGCGTGGGCACTGACGTCACCTCGGTTACCGACAGCAGCGCTGGCTCCGCCCACGGTGGTGTGAGATTGGCTAGACCTGGCACACCTTTTACAGGTTACTGTAAATGAATTAAATGAAATTGGGCTACAGCTGCGTCCGAAACCACACACTATCGTATTAAACACAATTTACTAATGAATGTACTTATAATGGTGATTGTTTTTGTGACATACTATTACATACTACTACATACAGTATGATAGTGTAGTGTTGGCGTAGGAGAAGACGCTGACAACGTTGAGCGTACAAGCAAATGCTCTTTTATTTTAAACAGCAGCAAGAAATGCCAAACCCAGCGCTCTCTAAGCTGAAAATTACTCTAATTAACTACTAACCAAACCGCCCAGTGACAACAGCAGTCACGACAAATTGAGCTTTTTAACCAGGAGTGTGGCGTGCTCCGAGAGACACTGTATGGCCCCACACCCTAGCTCCTCACAGCCGTGCGGAGCCTGAGGCAGGTTGGGGTGTTGGGGGGGGGCGCTGTGTGGAAGTGGGGCTATTGGAAGAGTGGAGAGAAGCACATAGAGGGCTCCCGGAATTCCGTGCACCTTTCCGCAGTCCTTGTTTAATTTACATCTAGTGTTGTTAATGTTGCGGTCTGCGTAACGTGTTACAACTTGATTGTGTTTTTTTTTGGGGGATGAATGGGGCAACATAGCTAAAAACGAAAAGTTAAATTCATTCTTAACCACTTGCCTAGAACTTTCCTTTAAATTTAGAAAGTAGAACGATGTATTTTACTAAAAAGCAAAGAAAACTTACCTTTATGTTTGCTTTTTTTCTACAGCAAACGGGTTTTGGGTAGCAGCATGCTAGCATTAGTGCTACCGAGTGCTGATTGGTTGTCGAGCGGAGCAGGTGATTGGCTCTTCATGCTCACTGACATCATGGATGTACACAATGTGCTGTTACAAACTTCTTTTACTCAAGTTTAAAAGCTTTAAAAATATGACAGCAGTGTTGAAATGTTTTTTGCTGTTCAGTGTTCAGGAAATGAATGTAGTCTTTTACATTAAAAATGTTTAAGCATTTATAAACTATGATTTTGCTCAAATGCTCCATCTTCACCCATTCATTTTGGAATTGCTCAGGAGCGCCCTCTAGTGTTTGAGAAACCTGTACAGAGTGGTAATTCTCCTCTCTACAATTTCTCTGATATTAAGCCCCACAAAAATCCATTTTAGATTATACAAGTCTTACATTTACTCTGAAGAAGCAGATGACGTGAAAGTCTTTAAGAGAAGCAGATGAGTAAACGCTAATCTTCAGGCAGCTCAGCTAACGTTACTAGCCCAGTCACAGTGTAACTTACTTCTCGTAGCTACATTTTAGCTGGAAACATCCTCTTAAAAGGTAAACATTAGGTTTGTTTATTGGTTGCATTAGTTGTAGTATGACCAAAATGCAAGCTCTAATTTTCAGTCCCACATTAAATGGTGCAGCAGTTACATTCTGGCGCCCATAAGGCGTTTGTGAAGAACAAGTTAGCTGGTTCTAAATGTAATAAATTCACTAAATGTTATTGAAAGTTTTATTTCATTAAAACTGTACGACTAGATCTATAAACTTCATGCTTGACTGCTGTTTAACCAGAGCTGCATATGAAAAGCAGATTAAAGCTCCTTTCCAAACTGTTTTCACTGATATTGCTCTGATCTGTTATCTGTTGATTCGCATGTAGATCCACATGCTAGTCATCTCTGCAAATGTATTTAGTGAGACCATAAGCTTCATATCAGCCAAAATCAAGCAAAACTGGTTAAAAAGTTAGTATTGTTCAACTATTCTAAACCGCCTAGACTGATGAACCCTGCCACAATGGCAGGTCACCCATAAAATACTGCGTTTTGACATCACATTCCTAAGCCCTATACTGTAGGCACTCTTCTAACAAGGCTCTGAGCACCTGAGCTGAGAGGGAATGAGAGTTCGTTGCTCCTCCTCTGCGTCACTGCACCACTTGGCAGCTCGGCCACCCGGGTCGAATGTAAGGCAAATTAAAGTGGCCTCACTGTGGGACCAGAGGCAGCGCCCAGAAGGGGGGAGTCAGGACTCGCGCACCACCCCCCAGTCGTTTGCTGTTCTCTCCCCACCGTCCGCGTCAGGGTTTGTCCCGGCTCTTGCGGCCGTCATTGGGGCCTGGGGAACGGGTGCATGCCATTCATAGCTAAAAAGTGTGAAAGTTTGATTTTGGACTCTCTCCATATGTTTGTGAGCTGGTTAACTATAGCATCTGTAGTAGGATGTGTTCATATATTGCTACTTCAAACACCCTGGGAAGGCTTGCTTGGTCGCACAAATTCACAGACTGCTACTAGTGATGGGATGTCAACTCCAGAAGAGTCGATTCTTATATTCACTATAGTGGACAATCCAAATAAAGTGAGACCAAGTTTTCAAACTGGGGACAAATTTGAAGTTGCTCACCTCCATTATTTTTTTCATTGTCCATGGTCCGTCCATGATAAAAAAAAGCCCCTTCTGGTCTGCAAGAAAGCTAATTTTCTTTCCTCGCTGGACTGTGACTGTGATGACATGAACATATATACACTAACCATTCATGTTATCAGAAAATACCCCCTTTTACTTCCACTCGCTGACCAGTTTAAAAAACCCACCTACCACATATTTTCCTACCTTTCCTGTATCAGTATATAATACCACTTGCAAATCCCTTAGTGATACTCACAGTTATAAGCATTACTGTACCGTTACATTTAATTACACAGGAAAGTGTAATGTAGACATTCTTTAATTCACTTTAAAAGTACATTTTAATTTGAATTTTTAAGCCTATAACACAGATTAACATTCTGAAGATGCTAAAGAAACGTCAGGCCAAGTTCGACTGATTAACTGAAAGAACCAGTCAAAAAAATACACTCAAGAATTGGACATCAGTGATGGGGAGTTTGATTCAGTTTGCTGAACCTATTCTTCCTCACTGTCTGGCTGCATCTCAAACTACATACTGTACTACGCACACTGTATTTACCAATACTAAGAAATGTAATGAATTAAAAATGCCCTTCATGTACAATGGCATTTGATTCAGCAAGTTAGTGTGACGTCTTCTACTTACTTGCTTACTTCTGACTTAATGGAGTAAAGAATTGAAATGCAAAAATTCGAACACAGAAAGGTGGGGCTAGCTACAATCTACAGAGAGAACATGTAAGCAAACTGGTATGCCAACTTTTTGGTGCGAGTTTATGACAATATATCGACAGATTACTATTTGAACTGTATTAGGCACCTTCAATCTACAGATGTAACACTGATGTAAATATTGGGAAGAAGAAATGTTAGATTTAGTTGGACCTGAATAGGTTTGAATGAATGTATCAGTTTGGTTTACTGAAAAAAAATGGGTTTAAAATTCGATTTGGTAACATTGGTGTAAATGTATCGCATAACATGTTTCATTAGTCAGTGTATTGCCCCACTGAAGGGATTCATAAGAGAATATATATATATATATATATATATATATATATATATATATATAGCTACCATTTGAACTTATCAAACAGTATACCAAGTATCTGGATGTCATAATAGAGGTTGTAAAGGCGACACATTGTTGTAGCCAGTCCTAAACCTTCTACACTCACTTGAATACTGTATTTAGTATGCAGGAGAACAGTATGCACTTCCACTGTGAAAAAGTGCAGCCTGCATATTTAGATACTGCTGAAGACTGACAGATTAACTGAATTGATCAAGATAATAACAATTGAGAGCTTTTTACTTCATCAGTGACGTTGAAATAAATATGAAGCAAAAATACAGACCTACAAAAGAGTAAATTAAATCCTTTTATTGAGACATTTTACTGAGAAATGACTGAGATATTTCTGGATGAGAACATATGCAAAATCTCTGTTAAAAAGACATTGAATCACTGAATAGCAAGAGAACCCCATGCTTTAATACTGACACTCAGTTCACATAGAAGTTGGGTCAGATGCATTTTTCACCATTTCAATAAAAATATGAAAATGTTTGTTCAACTTTTTTGTGCATGGTTTGCCTCTTTAATAATATAAAAACGTATAATACTGATTGCAAAACACTTGATTTAATTTACAAAACAAATAACTGTAATAACAATTACAATCCATAATTATAACAATAACAATAATTATATTAAAAATGAAAACCAAAATCAAATGAAACAAACCAGACAAAGCCATGTGGTCTTCACTAACACAAACAGCGAGCGTCTTTTGTAAGAATACCATTTTGGTATAATTTTTTTTTTCCTGACATGGGTCAGTTCTCAAGGTCAGTCTGCATATATCAATGGTTCTTTACAGTGTAGGTGGAAGCATAAGGATTATATGCTCTCTGGTCAGTCTGAAAAAGTGGGCAGAATGAGGCTCTACGTCAGAACCTAGCCTGTCCTAGCCACTGTCTCCAGAGGACTGGTGAACACCCGAACATTCCACCTCCACCATTTCGAGAAAAATCAGGAGAACACAGGGAGAGACCTTTTCAGCATTTAGACGAAGGAAAGAACCTCCCAGGCGACAGGAATTTATACCCGTTTCCTGTGGGCAGTCTAATGGGGTGGGAGCCGGGGCTGCTACCGGTGGACGTGGTGGGTGAGGGGATGACTCTTTTTGGGTCAATCTTACGATGGCCATTAGGTGGGTTTCTGCGCTCCAGAGACTGAAGCCCCATGTCTTGCAGTTCATGGCCAGGCAGGTCCTGACCTGTGCTGTGGCGGGGGGAGAGGTTGAGCAGGCCAAGGACATCCCTTTGAGCAGGACTCATTTTGGCTCCACCCCGCAGGGCCCTCATTGGGCCAGAGTGCTGCTGCTGAGCAGCACTTGCCCAAAAGGTTTTAAGATTGTGAATGGCTTGTACTTTCTCATCGATGGCGGCCAGCCTGAGTCGGTCGAGGTCCGGGGCGTCGGCCGGGCTGGAGCGGGTGGAGCCGGTGGAGGAATAGGAGAGAGCAGGTGAAGGGGCGCTACCAGCAGGTGACTGATGGCCTGAACTGGGTGAGATATTGCTGGGGGAGCGTGAAATGTGGCCGCTGTAAGGTGAGCTGGGGTACTTGAGCTTGAACTGGCTGTGGCCATCGGAGGTGGGCGATGGCTGGCTGCCGTCCTTCAGTGATGTATCTGAGGTGGCTGGGCTGTTGTAGCCAGAGCTGATCTTCTGCAGGGAGGAGGTGCGGGAGGGAGGTTTGGGGCGGCTGGGGACAGGCGAGGACTGGGCTTTAATGCTAGCTCTGCTGCTGGGCCTGCTGAAAGCGCTGGTTTCTGACGAGCGGAACGCAGAGCCTCCGGTCGGAGTGGGGGCATCTCCGGCCCTAGTCCCATCACTGGCAGCCGCATGCCTGGCGCTCCTATGTAGGGTCTCCACAGCCCGCATGTGGCTCTGGGTCTCCTCCAGGATTTTCTGCGCCAGCTCCTGTGGGTCCAGAGGTGCACCTGGCGGCCGCTCCTCCTGTGATTTCACAGTGCTGTCAGTTTCGGTGCTGGACTGATCCGACTCACCCGTGTCTGAGCTGCTCACTTTACCCACTTTTTGGAAAGGTGAGTTCGGACTGGGCACGAGGCTGGCCTTCACCGGTGAGGTTGGGGTGCTGACGCTTCCCCTGGAGGACACAGAAGCCCCGTAGCCCCTGCCTGCCCCTCCACGGGTTGCACCACGATGATGCCTGGCCCCTGCTGGCCGGGGAAGTGTGTCGCAATGGCTGCCCAGAGGCTCGCTGCTGATGATGCTATAGCCTTCATACTCTTCATCGTCGTGGCCGCCAGCAGCAGCACCGTGGGGGGAAGACCTACGGGGGACAGCCGCATGGCGCTGGGGGGCAAAGAGGCCCCGGTGGCGCTCCAGCTGCTGGCCAGTGATGTCTGAGGCGCCTTCAGGCCGCGACAGGAAGCTCATGGAGGAGGCAATGGAGCTCAGACTGTAGACGGAGATGGCGTCCGAGGCCAGGCTATCAGGGCAGGGAGGGGAAAAGGGAGGGTTGGGGTAGCCCAGTGGCAGCTGGTGGGATACAGACTGAGCTGAAGCCAGTGACTCCAGAGAGGAAGAGCTGTCCAGACTCAGGCGCTTGGGCAGCTCTGTGGAGTCTGAAACGAGAGGTATGAATGAGAATGTATTATTAATCCCCCTAATTATAATATGCAGTCTGCTGAATAAACCATTATTGTGCATTTCTGTTTATCTTTTGTTAGGAGGTCAAATGAAATGTTTTATTTCTTGTATTTATTTAATTATATGACATTAAAAAAACAAAACTAATCCAAAAGTAATAGAAAGTAATCAGATTAGGTCACTTTATAATAGTTACTATTTGGATTAGATTACAAATACAAATAAATAGTTGTTTTATGTTAAAACATTTTCTTACTTAACTGAAAAGAGTCTTACCGAAAAGGGCCAACAGAGACTGTAGGGCAAAGTGCATGGTGCGGCGGTTTGCCTGTTTGCCAGTTTTTAGCACCACTTCCTCCTGACCGACCTCACACAGGTCAAACCCTGAGAGAGAGAGAGAGAGAGAGACAGAGAGAGAGAGAGAGAGAGAGAGAAGGTTAGAGTATTTATTCAATTATTTGATTTCCTTTTACACATATTGCTTATGTATTCTGTTTGATTCTATTTCTAGTGTGCGTTTATGTCTTTGGTGTAATTATAGTTTTTTTGTTTGGTTTTTAAAAATAGTTTCTTTTTTTATTTTTTCAACAAATTATTATTTTATTGAATGGTCGTTTCTTGTCCTGTTGTACAGCACTTTTGCCAATACTTTTCAGACAATATTTTTATACACATTTTTATATCACATACTTAGAAGCATGAAGCCTAAAAATATGATGCAATACATAACATAAATCTGCTACAACGTAACCTCACACAACCTAAACAGTGAGGTAAACACTGCACCACTTACCCAGAGCAGCCAAAAACTCATGGCAGCCTGGCAGCCTCCAAAGCTGCACACTGATGGACACCTGGATGGGCGCCAGTGAGAAGTCCTGCTCCTTCTCTCCAGACTGCAGCTGGACCAGCACCTGGTGAAGCTGTAAAGAAAGACAGATTTGAATATAAATAAATAGCCCTTTAGATCATGCTTTTCTCAGCATTTCAGAACAGGAGTGAGGATGTAATTATAGCAGATCTAGCCAGTTTATTATCAGACTGCACAATCGTATTATTGAGAGCTATGTTCAGAACAGCATGTTAGTTGAGTGCAATCGCTGAAGCACTTACCATTCCCACTACATTTTTAACAGCCTTCAAGGAGCAGGTTTAGGAAAAGAGAAGAGAGGATTTAGCGGCATAGGAAGCAAGCATTAGTAACTGCACAAGATGCATGCAGCATGACGAAAATACTGATGCATATCACTGGTCATAACAAAACATCTGAACTCCAAATAATTGAGCCCTTCCAGTGGAAAACAGTACATGTGACAGTACATTTGTTGTAAAAATCATTTAAGCATGATATGGCATTATCTGTCACTAAAGTGTAATTAAAGCATAGTTTAGCTTCTTATAACAAAACTGTAATCCAAATTTGGATATGGATAATATGTGGCTTTTCGTTTAAAGGGCTCAGTTTTGGACCATTTCTTTTGGTCTATTCCTCATGAAAGTTTCACACAAAGTAAAGGTCAGATTCCATTATCAAACTGCTTTATCAAAAAAAAAAAGTAGTTAATGTTCTGTTATGACAGGGAATATATGACCATAAATATATTAGGCCATGTATGTTTTGTAGAGTTTTGTATTGTATCTTGCTGCCTCACCCTGCTGATAAGCTGCTCTCCTGTCTCGGAGGCAGTGATGAGTTTACATAGGGCCTGAAGAGCAGGAGGGGGAAGACCTGGGGGCACAGAGAAGCAGAGTGACTCAGTGATTTCAGTCTCTTTCACAAATCCATCTTACAAAATAACAGCTTTCAGTTCAACCCAGCAAAGAGAAAACACTTCAATGGTGTCTGAAATGCAGTCATCTCAGTACATGCATGGACATGAATAACTGCATAGCCAAACTAGTGATGGCACAATACCAAGATTCATTACTGACACTGACATTGATATTAAAACCTTTGAGTGCTGGCCAATACTGACATGGATATGATATTTAACCACTAAACTTTAAAATAAGCTACTTTCTGTAATATAGGGAATTCCACAGATTTTCTTTGTTCACAGCGGTGGTTCTGTTTAATGCCTCTAAAACTCTTTCACAGAAAAGTTATGACATTAAATGGTTATGAATATGCTGTGTGATGTTGGCATTGTTTTTGCGATATGGTTTTGGCCAATAACTCAGAAGACATGTTTAGGTTCACTGGTCATTTTGAATAGTACATAAAATGACTAAATTTTAAGTGTAGTCATCATGACCCTTGGTTCCTATCACCACCACTGTAAACAAATCAGAGTCATCTCAATGAATTGAATTATGCTGGAATTTTAAAAAATCAGTAGCAATACTTTTTAAGAGCATCCTAAGAGCATCTAAAAGTAGGCCATCAAGCTCAAACTACTCCAACACTCTAATACCCTACAGGAACAAATACACAGCTAATAACACAAATGTAATGTGAGTGTGTGCTATTTCAGGATAGATTTGTTGCAAGACTGTGTCAGATTCATTATTTTTATCCTTGTGATATCTAAGTGAAATCTCTAACCCAAACTAATCTTAGAATTTATTTACTTAATTGGATATGGAAACAATTAATATATACCTTGAAATAAATTATGTACTGTCTGATTGAGCATGAAATGTTGGGACATAAAACTTACCTACACAAAGATTTTAGTTTAATCATTTTAAAGAGAAACATAAGCAACACATACAGTGTAAGCTGTGTGAGTTATAGTTCTGTAAGGTTAGCTGGTATTGTGCTAAATTACATATGCCTAAATACAAAGACAATTCACAAAATCAAGCAAATGGGCAGATACTGATCTTTTATGCTTACAACACACAAAAAGCAAATGCTAAAGCTTTTTATTATTTTCTTTTTGCGATAATCCAATTTTGTTCATTCTGGGTTGGAGATATTTGAATAGCAAAACTGGTTAAACATATTTCTAGTCTCATGTTCCTGACATGATCTCATAACACATCTGTTAAAGGGGCCATATCCTACCTTTTTTTATTGTATTTCATTCTTTCCTCCTGAGGTTCACGTATTGCATTTGTGTGGCTTTATGTACCAAAAACAGTCACAATTCATTTTTACATGATTTACATGTTATGTAAGTAATGTAAATGATATCATGATAATATCACAAAAACAGTTTTGCAGCTTAATTTTATTCACATATGAACTGTATGGACTGGGGACTGAATGGTACATTTTGAAACTTTCACAATGTTTATTTACCACATCAAACTCTTTTATTCAAAGAAGTGAGGCAAATTCACTTTTCTATGATTCGAGCCTTTAAAGTTGTGGTGCTGGATTGACGATAAATCAGGGAATGCCCCTTCTAAAACCTGACCCTGTAGTAGTTCATGATTAACTTTTAGTTGTAACTAGTCCGAGGTTAGGCTTAATCTGTGTGGAAAATACGTGTAAAACATGAAGGCCAATACATACCTAGCAGGGACTGCAGCGTGGTGCTGCACTGCTGGAGTCGGTCTCCAGGGTCGGCTGTGGGGAAGAAGACGGCAGCAGGAAGGCCAGTGCCAGCCGAGTCCAGTCGGAAGCCCACAGCGGTCAGCAGAGCCTGCCAGCCAGGGACACCACCAACTTTGTTCTCCACGCTTTGCTGGGATGTGTACATGGAGTTGCGCTGACCGTTTTGAATTCGCTGAAGAGATTTTTCCACCTAGAGGAAAAGAGAGGAGAGGTTTGGATGTATAGATTAGAAAGAAAGGTTCTGCTGCTTGAACAAAACATCCATGTTACTAGAGAGCCAAATATTAAAACCAAGTCGTCAAACTAAAGTCCTAGAGACAGTGTTGTAGTACTTGAATCTTGATCGCAAGTCCACAAATAAATTTTCTTGGTCTTGTCTTATTTTGACTTATTCTTGTCTTGGTCTCAAAATTATGACTCAGTATTATCTCGAAATTACAAGTCAGTCTTGTCTTGGTCTCAAAATCATTTCTCTAGGGCTGAGAAGAACTCTATTTTTTTTCTTGAGACCAGTTGAGTGCAAGGCCTTGTTTAATTTTTGCTTATTCTTTTTATCTGTAAGAGCACAGTTTTGTAAAGTGAAGTGCATTTTAAATCAGAAGCAGCTAAAGCACTGTGTGCAACAAGCGCATGTGCATTTTACTCACAAGCGAAGCAGAACCCCCCCCCACTTTGCTGCTGTCCTGTGTAGTTACTGGTATAAAACAAGGTTGTGGTTCCCTAATAGGTGCTGTTAATGTATTATGCTTAGTAAAGCACCTTGTCCAGTAAGCTGACACACAGATATAAACCTAAGCGCATAAACCTTTGACAGCAAACACTGCTGGGTTGAAAATATGCCACACCAACAGCCCTAATATCAATACACACACACATCTTCCGTGTCGCGGGGGGAGCTGGAGCCTATCCCAGCTGTCATTGGGTGGATACACCCTGGACAGGTCACCAGTCCACTGCATGGGCAGATACACAGACATATACATTCACACCCACACACTCACACCTAGAGGCAATTTAGCATGTCCAATTGGCCTGACTGAACGTCTTTGGACTGTGGGAGGAAACCTGAGAACCCGGAAAAAACCCACACAGACACAGGGAGAACATGAAAACTGCACACAGAAAGGAACAAGGTCACCTGGCCAGGGAAACAAACCCGCGACAGTTCAAATATCAGCATATACATGTCACTGCTCTCCTCATCCAGTATTCAATCAATAAACACTTTGATTTTGTATCACTTAAAATCAAGATCACAAGTAACCTCAACATCACAAGACAGAATCAGTTTGTTATTAATTAATTAATTAATTAATTATGATATCTATCATGTATTACGAATGTAAAACAAACTACAAACAATTTTTTTTTAATAACCCTAATCCGGTCTTGGTCTCACCCACTCCTAGTCTCAACTACTGCTCGATGTGTCTGGCCCTCTGTCTTGACACAGTCTTGTTCTAAAGAGCCTGATATTATTTGACTTCAACCACGTCTGTTAATGAAGAGTGTCATGGTTCTTCAGGACAGGAGTTTGACACCTACATCTAAAATAAACATCATCACCTCTAGGTGCGATATCATTATTTGACTCACAGTGCAGCTCTGATGCTACAAAAATAACCGACTTTCACAAGGCCTGTGGCTGGGACTGTGTTAATTGTTGCAGTGTAGTGTGAAGGTAATTCTGAGATGAAAGCGAGCGAGTCTCACCAGGTGCAGTAGGACTCTCAGGGCGTCTCTGGCTTTGTCTGGATACTGCAGGATCTCGGCCAGGGCCTGGCCAATCAGGGATGAAGGGCTGTTTAGTTTCACGTCGCTGCCGATCAGCATAAATCCTATGCAGACAAAGGAAAAGAACAGAGGTTGGGGATTCAGCTTTAAAAATGATTACATTAGTCTAGAGCTGTCACTAATGATAATATTAGTAATCTAATAACCTATTGAGTATTTTGACGATTAAATTAGTAATAGGAGTTTTTTGAAAAAGCAAAACAGGAAAAATTAACAATAACAAACCTTTCCAAAATACTTTACCGGAAAAAGATTAACTAAGAAGGCCTTAAAAAAAACTCCAGACACCAGCTGTGACTGCAGCACCGCAGGTGAACTATGTGGTTAAAATGCACACTGACCTGCCCAGTTGGACGGGTGAGAGAACTGCTTGCTGCTCTGAACCGTTTTCATGGCGTCTGCGAGAGCAGCGCTGGCTTTAGTGCCATTGAGCAGGGCCGTGTAAAAGGCATGGACAAACATTTTAGAGGCAGCCACAGGCACGGGCCAGAGAGAAACCAGCACACACTGAGCTCCTGCGGCTAGGAAAGCCCTGGTGAGTCCCACCACGCCGTCTGCCGTCACCTTGTTATCTGACTCCTGGTAGGACCTGGACAATCATCAAAACACACACCAAAGCTCTGAGTCGGGTAATTAGCTGAAACAGCTGAAGGCAATTACTGTAAATAGAGTGTAACTCCACTGAGAACATGGCAGCAGTCAGAGCATGGCCAGTTTAATTTAAGTTATGTATGACAATGCTGATGCACTCAGGGCTAGGAGTGCCCTGCTCACTGTTGTTCACTTTTTATCACTAGGGATGCCCCAATTCGATCTGAACGATCATTACTGACGTTTATCACAGCATATTTTAATGGGTCAGTATTGGATGTATTAGTCCCATTCAATTTCAACCTTTTTAAGGCTTTTTTAGATCATTAAGCTCTATTAAAAACCATAAAACAAGAAAGAAAGAAACCATAGAACAGTAATTTTTAAAAAGTCCAAATAGCTTGAACTGGACTGAGTTTACTAATTTGAATGTATGTGAAGTGAGTACTGTGCAGCTGAATTATTCACAGAAATACAAATATCAGATCAATATTGGGTATTGGCTGAAATTCAATTTAATTACATGACTCAGGATTGAGGGACAAATGCTTGATAAGGACATGCCAAACCATTAGCTACATTAGCACCAAACTATCCCTTTAAAACTGAGCTTTACTGACCCCAGCACCACTAGTTTGACGGGCAGTCTGAGGTCCAGTATGTCGGCGGCTGTGAGCAGGAACTCCTGCAGAGGTGGGCTGTCACAGATGCTCTCTGCGTCACTGGCGTCATCCGGCACACGCAGGCTCTCCGGGATGGTGTAGCTGGACTTTCCAACACCCTCTGCGCTCCCAGACGCCCCACAAGAAGCAGTGGCCCCGGACGCAGAACACACGTCTTGACTTGGGGTCAGAACTAGAGCAGCTAGTTTCCAGGAGATGTGTGTGGCGAAGTGGGCACACTCAGCCTGGCTCAGGGCACTCATCACACGCTCTTTGGTGGCGGCCGGGCCGGCCAGGGGCTGGCAGCCCAGGAGCTCAGCCACCATGTTGGCTTCCTCCTCAGCTGATGGCATCGGACCCCACAGCCAGCGATCCATTACTGATGCTGGGAGGCGAGGGTTGCCCACCACTGCTGCCATGGAGCTGCCTCCACTGCACAGTGCTGGGCCTGCACGTCGGGGATGAACCTATAGGAGAGAAAGGTAAAGAGTTAAAGAGCGAGAAGCAGATCATTACTACTACTCCTATTGATGATAATATTAAAACCTTCACTCACATTCTGCTTATTTTTTCTGAATACGTTCATCTATGTGTCCTGAATGTGTTACAATATGTGCTAATATAACACAATGCATCCTAATGAAGTCATCTTGAACTGAGAAACTGAACGCTGAGCAGGTAGATGGTCCTTCTCAATCTTACACGAGTCTATGGAGTAGAACTTGATTTACCATTTTTTTTTTTGTAGTTAAATCTTGTGCTCACTTTAGAGCTTGCGTCTATGTTGTGTGTATGTGAAAGAGCATGCTGACCTTGGCAGTGGCCCCCAGGCTGCCGATGGAAGGCACAGCTATGAGGCTGAATCGCTCATACAGATACTCGTTGGAGGAGCTGCCCTTCAGCAGAGCGAATGGGATGAGATAGAGCTCACCCTCCAAAACCAGGACCAGCTGCCTGTGCCTGCCCACCGGACCACTGGAGTGCATGAGGCCCTGGAGGAGTAAAGAGAGACAGAAAGAAAACACAAATATTTAATAGCAAACAAAACTGATACTGGCTTTGCTAGTAATGCAAGTAAACATAGTCAGTCATGCTTCTTTAATTGAGCAGACTTCAACTGAACTGAATGGGACAAAGAGAAAAGAGAGAGGGACAAAAAGCAACAGACAGAGGTTTGAAAGAGAGACACAGAGAAAGGTTTGCAATCGCTAACAATATTAGGAATATATGTTGGTTTATATTACTGGCATTATACCACTTTTTGTCTAAGCTTTGATCCAATAATCGAGAGGTTGCAAGTTTGATCCCTGGTGATGATACAGCTAAGATAAGTCCAAAAGAACATAAGTGGCCCTCCTTCTCCTCCCATTATCCAACCGCAGGTGTCTATTAGTTGGCGCAACTGGCATTTAGTGTTCTCTTTCAAGAGCAATAAATGCCAATCATGCTACGGAGGAAGCATGTACTAGCCTTCACCCTCCCAGCATGGTAACATTGTGTGATAGAGGGGAAACAAAAAAAGCTACCTGCTACACTTTAAAATCACTTATTTGAATTTAAATGTTTCATATTCACATGCATATTTAAAAATAGACTACCAAGCTCTAACTACTAGAACATGCTACTACCTCACAGGAATACATTTACAGCTGACATCATTAGTTCAATGGTATATCCTGCTAGATTTGATACAGGGCTGGATCAGATTTTTTTTTTCCCCTCCAATATCTGATACTGCATTTTCTACTGATATTGGCCTGAGAGTGAGGTTGGTGCCATCTCTAATTTAAAAATTATTACTCATAAAACAAAAATTAAAAATTAGACACTATAATGTACTTCAATATTGTTCTATGCATTGTAATTATCTATTAGAACAAGTTATCTGCCTCATTATCATTTTGATACATAAGGCACTCTGGATATTACTATTATTATAATTTCATACTCACAGTCACACAGCTATTGGTTTACAAGTTCCACAGGACTATCATATTAGAATTATTATGTAAGTTTATTTGTGAATGAGTTTATGTAGTTGAAAACATTAATACAAAACTTTAGATTGGTAGTGTATGAGCAAAACCTCTCCATGATGAGCTTAAACAACTTTCAAAAATTCATTTATTGTATGACAAGTGACTCACCCCTTCCATAGGAGCGATGAGGAGGTCATAGAGGGCGCGAAGAGGAGGCTTGCTGAGGGCACTGGGGCGGCGGGAGAGAGAAGAGCTTCCCTCTTTTACTGGAGACACTGTGTTACTGAACAGACTGGTCATACTCTGACAGCTCCTGTGTCAACAGAACACACATATTACACAATATAAGGTCAGTGCAGAAGGCTTACAGTTCGCTACTGTTCATCAGTGTTAGATCAGTAGTTCCCAGCCCTGGTCGTGGAGTACCCCTGACCTGCACGTTTTAGTGTTATCCAAGCTACAATGGTCCGTTCAGACTAACTCTGTCAACTCGCGAAGCCAGAAACCTGACAAGTTCCCAATTTATAACTACCAATTGCTCGCATTCAGGTTCAGCAACTAGTAAATGTATCATGTGACCAGAATATACATCTGAACCAGTGGGATGAACCAGTGCAACACTCACAGAAAGACAATGAGAGCCAGACAGAAGGCAGTTAATTTTTAGAACTTTTTAATTTGATGCTTTAAGTTCACGTGGATGAATGACCCATCTGCCATTAAAGTGAACAAGCGTGTTTCCAGCTTGCGCACATTCAGCTCAATAACAAATAAACAACATCAAACATGCTAACTAGCAGAACAAGCCCTCATTGCAAAGATATTTTCCCCAGAATCCCTGTCAGCTGTTCATTATTTACGAGCAGGACGAAGATGAAAAAGGTCAGATAAATTGCTTGTGCAGCGTTTACTGACACAACTTAAAGTAAGGCGCTACTGCCGTGTTAACGTTGAATGATGTGCATGTACGGTGGAAAAAACACAATTTTCATTAAGCCTGGCCGCCTATCAAATATGTATCTGATCTGTGACCACATTTTAAACTAGCTCAGACCTGATTTGAAAAGATCACATATCAAATCAGATCTGATCACAGAGCCCACACAGCTCTAGAAAACATCCGATTTGTGCCAAAATAAGGTAAAAAAAAAATTGATTGATTGACAGGGATATTTTAGACCAAGATCAGGATCCACTGCACCAGATGATTAGATGTTTCACAATTTCAGGAAGGCCACTAGGTGGCACTGTGCATCCATGTAAAGATCTGCAGGAGGCTCATCATTTCAGAACAGTGTCAGTTTCAATTATGAGCTTTGAACAGAGAGAGGGGTCACAGTACCAGGTCAGCGAACCATGAACAGAGCACAATGAACGTTATTTTCTATGATCCAGAGCAGATAATATGTTTGGAGTGATTCAGTGGCCACAGATCTATTAGAGCCAGTTCTATTAGAATTTTTTTTCTCCGCACAACTGAGGTGTAGTGGGAAATGTCAGCTATGTCAGGCTGAAACGACCCAGACACACGCAGAGCAGCTATGGCTCCTGGCGGTGGGAGATACAGTGATTCTGTCATTAGTATGTCGAGAACTCGAGAGGCTCACAGGCACAAGGTGAAATCACTATGGTAACCAAGCAGCAATGAGAAACACTTCTCTCTTCTCTAAGCGTTCAACAGGCATTTCTTCACACTGACAGGAAGAACGAGTCTGCTGGCCTCTGTTTACAGGTTACCAAGCCGAGACCTGCCCTTAAATGCATTCTTACATAACAACTGAGCTTTCAATCTAATGAGAAATAGTAGCAACCATATTGATTTGCGTCTTAAGTAAGGCAGATTGGAAACAACAAATTTGATGCATGCTGACATGTCACCATGCTTGAAAAAAACAATTTATGCTGTTCAGTATCATTTGAAATTAATAATGCATTCTAAATGTAGTGCTTCCAGTTGTTATTAGGTGAATAAGATTTTTGCCAACACTCGCTCAAACTTGTCCAAAATTGCAACAATTGCTACGAAAGAATGAATTTGTGGGCAAAGCAATCTTGCATGCTGTGTCTAAATGTTAATTGTTTAATGACAGCAGTCAACAGTGAGAGCATGCACGTCATCTTTAATTTAAAATATTTCTAGACATCTCCGCTTAGATGTCGCCATTTAATTAACTTAAGATGTAATATCCCACGGGCGGCACGGTGGTGCAGTGGATAGCGCTGTCGTCTCACAGCAAGAAGGGCCTGGGTTCGATTCCCGGCCGGGTGACCAGGGTCGTTTCTGTGTGGAGTTTGCATGTTGTCCCCGTGTCTGCGTGGGTTTCCTCCCACGGTCCAAAGACATGCAGTCAGGCTGATTGGACATGCGAAATTGCCCCTAGGTGTGAATGTGTATGTCTGCCCTGCGATGGACTGGCGACCTGTCCAGGGTGTATCCTGCCTTCTGCCCAATGACAGCTGGGATAGGCTCCAGCACCCCACTGCGACCCAGAAGGATAAGCGGTTTAGATGATGGATGTAATATCCCTTTATGACTGTGTCTCTACATTTTCTGTGGTTCTCCTGCAGCTGTGCAGTGTCAGGTTTGACTCGGCTTCAAATAACAAGTCTTTCTTTAAAGAAAAAACTTTAGTCTGATGGACAATTTAGAGAGGTAGAACAATTCAAAAGCTAGCATGTAGTGTGTATAGCTGTTGTATAGTATGATAGCTAGTGCAATAGCTAATTTAGTGATCAACTAATCTAGTTGAAGTTTTAGTAAGTTAAAGTTAGGAAAAGTCAAATATCACATTCCTTTATACTTTATATACACATCAGCAGGTTCACCTATTACTCTAGCTAGCAACCATACTTTCTACACAAACTACAGACTAACCAGCCATATCGAGCTGTTTTGCCGCTTTCCTGTGTGTAGCACTTCATTCTGTATTTCAGACTGATGTTTTTTCAATAAAGAAAGGTGTGTTATTTAAAGCTGCGTCAAACCTGACAAGCAGGGTTCACTTTTGTACAATGTAATACCTGCACACTAAAATGTTCTCTGAAACTCAACACTCACTCCCCAGAGTCTCGAGACTCGACTCAATATGACATCTCTGCAAGATAATACATAATTATTTTTTTATTTCAAAAGGCACTCTTTATTTGAATAAACAATTAAGTAAGATGAATTTGGAAATCTATGTATTCAAATACCCCTAGTGGTGTAGCTGAACTTTCTGCTGCTGACTGATGAGAAACATAGTCCTCTTTGTACCGTGGAACAAACAAGAAAGTAGTTTGTTGACCTGTAACAGTAGCTATCAAAGCCTAGTTACGGATGGATTGTGTGTGATCGCTAGCGTGCTTCTCTGGGTGAGAGAATGAAGGAGAGGCACTGATTGTGGACAGAGTGGTTTTGCATGTGAAGAGGCACCCAGTGCTAATGAAGCCAGAGAGTTGGGAGCTCCTCTGAGCTCGTAATGAGCAGCGCAGACCTGATTACGTCTGGAGTGATTCTCTCATTAAAGGACGTTATAGGCAGTGTCTCGCCGCGCATACTCACCATCTCTCTCTCTCTCACTGCTGTGCTGATGAGACCTTTAACAGTGTTTTTCTGTCTCTCTCCTTCTCTAAATTAATCAGGAATTGCAGGACCCAGCTGAATGCCAAACTTTACCTCGACACTGACTCCCTAATGTCCAAATGTTTACTGTTTAGTGATTTAGTGATCGATTGCTTCTCTGTTTTCTCGCTCTGCAATCTTTAAAAAGCATTCACTGTGAATTCTTGATGGGTGCAGCCATTTCAAAATGAAAAATCTTTCTCATTCTCCGAGATTAGATTGTGCAGCGTCTGAAAAATAATGACAACTATAATGTATTTCAAATATTTTTGAAGCTGTGGCACAAAGAGTTGACAAGACCCATTACCCAGCTCTTATAGGTTCAAATCCCTTTAAGTTACACAAAAGAATGTCAGAAATGTGCAGGACTTAAAACTTCTGCTCTTGCCCTCTATTATTACAAACGTAAAAGGAATGTGCTAACAAATCAATAAAAAAGGTGTTTTGTTGGTCAACCCTTTAGAAAGGACCTATTCTTTGCTCCTTTGGTTTTTGGATTTCTAGTGTTCTTTTAGAATTTTTGTCCTTCACCCTACAATTTGGACAAACTAAAGAACTCCATGCTAGCACAGAAATAATTTTTTGTGAGGTTGGGTAAGCTTTACAGATTCTTGGCAAGAAAGCATTCAATCATTCAATCAGTAGCACATTTTAAACTTGACATGAAATTTTTGTAGCAACTCTAAACCAACGCCCCAGTGGTTTGATAGTAATTTAGGGCTGGCATTTTACAGGCTTCAAATAATAATAACAATAATAACCATTATTTTAAGTATGTTCATTACATGTTTTCAAAACATATCCAGTAACAATGAAGCAACGATGTATTAACAGTGTATACCGGTCATAAACTGAAATCAGCTGTAGTGTAAAGCTAGCCATATTCATATGAGGATCACTATGCTTACATATTTGACATAATTCATCAAACCTGTCATGCCTCCATAAAACACCAACCTTTTGTTGCAAATTCTGCACAAATTCCCATAGGCAGACAACAGAAGTGCTTCCAACGCTTGATTTAAGAGGCATCTATCTAGTCTTTTAGCTTCAATGGACACGTGGAAACGGTTGCAGTTTTCCATATATTAACAGTAATTTTCCATCTGCTGATGAAATGTACAGTAGTTTAGGCTACACTTTTTGTGGCTTACAAAAAGACAAAGCACCTGAAAACTAGAGAAATTAATACCAGTGTAACAAACATATACACAAGTATTCAATTTACATTTTCTGACAACAACTGAGTTGTATACTTCAATTTCTCATTTGGCTGAATTTGAATTTTGTCAGTGTTCTGCAAAGCTTCTCCAACTTTGCAACAGTTGCTTCAAAGCAAATAAGCCTAAGAAGAACCCAGTGAATACTGACTGGTGAGAACTCTCTGACCTGTTGAAGAGGTTGTTCCTGGACACCATTCTAAGGAAGCCAGTGGGGTCGGTGACTGAGTTGAGCTTGTTGTTGAGCTCCTCAAACTGCTGGTCCAAGAGATCGCCTGCCTCGCTCTCTGTCTCACTGCTGGAGCACGCTCTACATAGAAAAAAACACATCACAATACTTCATCACACCCACACTCTCACCAAAACAAAGCTCCTTTTCAGCTAAGACAAATTACTATACTGTTAGCATGGAGTGCTTTTTTTGGTTTGACAATCTTGTGTAGACGTCCCTGTTCCTTTGTGATCCAGCTCCTGTCAAAATGTAGAAGGGTCTTAATGTCCTAGGCCACACTTGGTTCGGCTGCATGTCAGTTAGATAGCTGGCTGCAGACTGGAGCGAATACACCAGCAGAGATATAAAGAGAAATCACATTGCTGCAGAACTGAGACACTACTCACGTAAAGCCCATTCTGCTGTTTATCATGATTTTTTTTAATCATTAGCCATAGTTTTTGTGACGACTACAATAAACTGGCAGAGAAAGAATGCTGTTGGTCTTTCCTGTTGAGAGATTTTTAAAAATAATATCTGTGGTTTTCTTCTGTTCGATTTGAGAACAGAGAGAGAGAATGAAAAAGAGGGCAGGCAACTTCTGACCAGTTTCTTTCAGAAAACATGTGAGCTTAAAGCATCAATCAGTAAATGTGCTGTAGTAATGTTAGCCAAAATGTAGCAACTAACTAGCAATTAGCTAAATTTGCAGTCATTTCTAACAAGCACAAGATGAAGAACAGGATTTCATTCAATGCAACAAGTAAGCATTTTTTTTTAAATAGCTAATGTGACAGTGTTTCTGTGAGCATAACCTAGCAAAGTTAGCCCCAGCCCAGCAGCTAACTTGAAAAACACCAGATTCCAGATTCAGAAGAATTTTTTTTAACAACTGTTTGGTATTATAAAGTTAAGATTTACCTTGGCATCACTTACTAACCGATGGGTGTATAAAATCTGGCAATCATTATTTGTTTATATAGGTATATTGCTGCAAATTAGGCTGGCTTTACCCAGTGAAACTTTCATGCAACTGGCTGCCTTCTGTGAGTTGCATGCAACTTAATATCTGTGCTACTACCCAGTTACACAAACCAAATCAGAAGCAAATTTTGATTACATGTGATTACTCTAGTAGTTAGCTAAATTGGCAGCATGTTTTTTTAAATATATTGTATTGTTCTTGCTATATGAAGCCATCTGTGGTGTGTTATTTACATTTGTGTATCTGCTGCGTTTTTAGTCTCTCTGTCTCATTTTTTCAGCTGTCATTGCCAGGGATGACATGGTCTTGCAAGGCTCCTGGCATGACACTTGAGGCTGCTGGCAGTCAGTTATACATCCCTTATCATTGCTATTATTTTTCCTATGTCTATACATCTTTTTTAATAATATATCTGTTGTTCTTTACTATATATTTATGTTTTTAATCTGTTCTGTGTATGTTAAGCCTTTGAAAATTAATGTTTGTGTTGCAATTTTATAAATAAATAATGTGAGTCAGGTAAGTGCACACTATTCGAATGCTGCTGTTACCGTTGTACCAAAATGTGCAGCATAATTATGAATCACTGCGCTACATAACATAATTTGCATAATTGATAAGGATTCATTGTGCTATATAGCCAGCTGTCTTCTACTTTCGATGTAGCATTTTTTATTAGTGGCAACAGGGTGTTTATTTATGAACTTAAAAGGCCACAGTTTTCCACAGTCAACTGTCAGTGGTATTATAACAAAGTGGAAGTGATTGGGAACGACAGCAACTCAGCCATGAAGTGGTAGGCCACGTAAAATGACAGAGCGGGGTCAGCGGATGCTGAGGCGCATAGTGCGCAGAGGTCACCAACTTTCTGCAGAGTCAATCGCTACAGACCTCCAAACTTCATGTGGCCTTCAGATAAGCTCAACGACAGTGCATAGAGAGCTTCATGGAATGGGTTTCCATGGCCGAGCAGCTGCATCTAAGCCTTATATCACCAAGCGCAATGCAAAGCGTCGAATGCAGAGGTGTAAAGCGCCGCCACTGGACTCTAGAGCAGTGGAGACGTGTTCTCTGGAGTGAGGAATCACGCTTCTCCGTCTGGCAATTCGATGGCCGAGTCTGGGATTGGCGGTTGCCAGGAGAACGGAACTTGTCTGACTGCATTGTGCCAAGTGTAAAGTTTGGTGGAGGGGGGATTATGGGGGGATTATGAGTTGGGCTCAGCCCCTTAGTTCCAGTGAAAGGAACTCTTAATGCTTCAGCAGACCAAGCAATTTCATGCTCCCAACTTTGTGGGAACAGTTTGGGGACGGCCCCTTCCTGTTCCAACATGACAGAGCACCAGTGTACAAAGCAAGGTCCATAAAGACACGGATGAGCGAGTTTGGTGTGGAAGAACTTGACTGGCCTGCACAGAGACCTGACCTCAACCCGATAAAACACCTTTGGGATGAATTAGAGCAGAGACTGTGAGCCAGGCCTTCTTGTCCAACATCAGTGTCTGACCTCACAAATGCGCTTCTGGAAGAATGGTCAAAAATTCCCATAAACACACTCCTAAACCTTGTGGAAAGCCTTGCCAGGAGAGTTGAAGCTGTTAAAGCTGCAAAGGGTGGGCCGACGTCATATTAAACCCTATGGATTAAGAATGGGATGTCACTCAAATTCATATGCGTGTGAAGGCAGACGAGCGAATACTTTTGGCAATATAGTGTATCTGTACTCTTTCCACCCCGAAAAAATTGCCCAAAAAATCAGCAAATTCATGACCCTTAATGTGTAAAATTATAGTCAGGATAGTGGGAAATATTATACCCACTTCAAGTCAAAGCTAGACAAAGCAAGACAAAGCTAAACCCTTTTACAAACACTGTATCTGCAACTGTAGCCTCCGTATTTCTGCAGTACGCTTTTAGACTAGAAGTAATGTGTTAGTAGTAATGTGTCTGCTTTTAGTTAACCTCTAATGTGCTAATCACTGTAATGGCTCAGTTGGGAACCTGAGCGAATGTAATGTAGCCACCTCAGGCTAATGGCTGTGAGTGGAGAGGGGGGACAGTGTGCTGACACCGCACATAGTGGTTGCTCCTAAAGTACCCAGGCGCCAACATAAGCTAGGAAGAGGGAACAGAGGAGTCAGGAAAAGATGACTGTACTGGAGAGAAATGCATGCGGCTCCTGTTTCTCTGAGTATGTATGTGTGTGTGTGGTTGCAGCGTGCCTCGAAGAGAAAAACATCCTTCTTTAGGCCTGCGGGATCAGCCACAACACCACTGTGCATTCCTTCTGATCCCTGTGTACTTACATACACAAGCTCAACCCACACACACACAGATATGATCTGCACCACAAACATATGCATGCATGTACAGCTCTGTGCAGAATCAGATACCACCCTTCATTTGTTTCATTTCCAGCCAAAATGGCTATTAAGTACAGGTTTATTTTTCAGCGTCAAGAAGTAATGCAGAGAATATATTTAAAAGAAAATTACAAAGAAGCCTTAAGAACTAAATATAATACTAATTTTTTTCAGTATTTAGTGTGTCTACCCTTTGCCTTTATTACAGCTTTCATTCTTTTTGGTTGGCACAGCCCTCCACAGTGTAGAATGGGGTTCAATCACCTGCCTGGTCAAGCTAGGCTAGGTTAACCCAATAATAGTCCTTGTGCAAGTCTCCTAAGACTACCTTTGTAAATCGCTCTGGATAAATGTGTCGGCCAAATGCCACAAGTGTAAATGTTTTTGGGAAGCTTCCTTTCACTTTCAAAGAAAACTGCAGGGACATTTTTCCACATCTCCAAAGTTCAGTCTCAGAAGCTGGTTTTCAGGCATTTTCTACCTCTCACAATCCAAGTAATCCCAAACACATTCAATGATATTGGGTTCTGGACTCTGAGCTGACCAGTGTATTGTTCTGAGAACACCATCAGCTTCTTTGTTTGATTTGCAAATTTTCTTCTTTTGTGTCTAATCCCTTTTCTGAGTAACAGCTTCTTGACTGTGCTGACCAAGTTGTCTTTTCACAGTGAAAGGATGGACAAAAAACACCTTTGGATTTGTTCAGATCTGAAGTAAGAGTGGAGCTTGATTTTCTCTTCTCTCTCAAAGATGAAAGCTTTAAATACTGTTTATCTGAAAAAAAAAAAACAGTGCCAAAATAAAAAAAAAGGATTTTGGTTAAAATTAATGTAGAGCTGTGGCGGTGACAGCACTGGCGTTGCACAAAAATGTAGCATTACTCAGCGGAATAAATTTCAAAACATGCTTTATTGTTCGAAAATAGCAGAGGGAAAATTGTAGGTTTTCATGTGGGATGAGTAATGTAATGGAGGCTGCCTTAGATGAGCTAATGAGCTGAATCTACAGCTAACCGGTAACACTGGCTGCTGACACTGCTTATGAAGAGATGATAAAACGTATGTGTCAAAACAAACTCAGCTTCTTCACATACCAAAGAGGTTCGGCAGAGAGAAAGTGACAGTTCAATCTGTCTTTGGTTCGCTTAGACACCTTTGGTCTGTAATGTGTTCATACTTCAACTGAACCACACCGTAGTTCGTTTTGAAGTGAACTGAGACCGACCAGCTCAGGGGGTCTTGGTGTGCTTGTTTGGTGCACACCAGAGATCGGATGGCAGCATTCTCACTTGCTCTAACGAACCACAATAACAGAGCAATCACACCAGGGTGCGTTTTAATCAAACCAAACATGCCAAGTGTGAATATACCCTTCTTTTCCTTCTGCTTCCTTATGCAAGAGGACCATCCTATATCTAATCAACTCAGAAATATCTCCTGAAAGATGAATAACTTGTACAACCCAATTTCCAAAAAAGTTAAGATGCTGTGCCGATTGTAAATAAAAAAGAATGCAATGAAATGCTAATCATGTAAACCCTATATTTAAATGAAAATACTACAAAGACAACATATAAAATGTTGAAACTGAGAAATTTAATTGTTTTTTGAAAAATGTAGGCCCATTTTGAATTTGATGCCAACAACATGCTGCAAAAAAGTTGGGACGGGGGCATGTTTACTACTGTGTTCCATCACCTCTTCCTTTAACAACACTCTGTAAGCATTTGGGAACTGTGGAGACACTGCTGTA